TTTTTGGGTGTTCTAGCTAAAATACTTCTTCTGAGAGTTCCTTGGGATAAAAGTTGTGCTGCAAATAATGCTGCTGAAACAAACACAGTAATTTGTAACACAACTACAGTGAATCACAATTCTGGCCACGAACCTCTTTTTAAAATCCTGTTTTTAGGAAAAGATAAGAATGTTCTCCTGAGAAGTACAGCCACATTATGATTGCTGCAGGGGCTTTATGTTTCACTGTCTGTGTGAAAAACCTGGAAACCACTTGCAGATTTCATAATTTATGGTCTACACATAAAAAACCAAACCCCAAGCCTTGCTTAAAACTCCTCTACATTCACATCCTCTAGACAGCAAAGTTTATTCAAGGTGAGAGTTTAGAAACACATAATTCTTCTCCACACCTACTTTACAGAACAGTGAAGAGCTTCACCTGAGGGTGCTGATAGAGGCGCTGACATGTAGGAACTGCACAAAATGCATGGTGGTTCTTAGCAAAGGTTCCTGCTTTAATGCAAAAAGAAGTAGCAGGAAATCAATTAAGTAGTTAAGTCTCAAAGTGTTGCCTTTGTGGAACTCACTGAATTGTGACCCTGACCTTTTGAAATCACCTGGTAAACTTTAAACCAGAATAACATCCCTTCAGTTGACCGTGTACTAAACCCAGATGGTGCATCAGTGGGTCAGGATGTTGTTATGGACTGAAGTGATGTCTTCTGCAGCCTATTAAAATATGTGAATGCTTTCCTGCTTTGCTCCTTGCTTCTTAAGTTCTTCTTATTGCTACCGAGATAAACTTGCTGCTTGTGGAACACCTCTCTGAAATAGCTTAAAATATCTACGTTTTAAGGCCGATTTGACTGTTTTAACGTTGCATCTTTGCAGTCTGAAATTGAGGGCAGCGTTCTAGGCCTGCGGACATTGTTCCAACACAAGTGGTTCCTGTAGTTCGTGGTACATTTGCTGTGTTTGAAGAGCTCACAGGCATGAGTTATGCATAGGTTTAATTTATGATTTAATGCAGCTGTTCAGATGATTCATTGTTTGCTGCTTATGCTTTGAGGTTAAGGGATTCTTGCGCCTTTTCTTGCAGTGTTTACTAGTTTGCTGGTACACATTATTTTCACTATTTTTTCACTTGCTGGTAGATATTTTTTTCACTATTGCAAAAACTGAATCAATAAAAGCTTACCTTAAATTAAAAATAAAAACCATGGCACAGGCAGAACAATTCTGGCTAATACAACAACATCCTTCCTAAAATACAACTCCGAGTGCAACATGTTTAGAGTGTGTCCTGCACATGGTTTCATCAAACCATTTTGTGCCATCAGTTCTGTTCACTTTGAAATTAGATAGTATCAATTTGATAGTTCTAGGGGGAAAGGTGCCCTTTCAGTGAACACCCCACATGCTGGGCTGGGAGAAGCCCTCTCTGGGCAGCCACCCCAGTGCTCTCCCGGGCACACTGAGCGGCTTCAAACTGTGGTTGTTGCTGCCCTTCAGGATGTAGTGGGAGCCACTACTGAAGGATTAAGCAGGCAGGCTGACAAGCAATGGCTACTAAATTAGATTATTTATAATAAACAGAAAACACTCTACACTATTTCAAGGGTAAATTCTGTAATGACATGGCTGTGTTGCAGTCCAGGTCTTACCTGACCTATTATTAGCTGATACCTTGCTCTTTTGGCAGCTGTCACTGTTTCAAAGGTAAGTACCCCTAGGTCTTTCATACTTTTACTACATCACCTCCCTATTTTTTTCTCTCTCTCCTGGAAATTATTGTCTTTATCCATCTCCCTCCTTTGCACACAGTAAACTCTTTTCTCCCTGGTGTGTTCTCTGGCACAAAGCTGATTGCCTGTTTTACTTCAGCTTTCTTCACATCTCCATCTCCCTGCCCTCTCCTAGGGCAATTCTACCCGAAGAATGGACCTGTAATATCTGAGCATCTGGAGTAAAACTGAAAGTGTGAGCTTCAATGCAGATCATTATTGCTTTATTTAAAACTAAATTGGCTTTGACTCTGTTAACTATTTCCAGATCCAGTACTTGAGCATTCATCTTTGATATTACAGCTTATTTTGTGGTTTAGTTGTGAAGGTAAGAGGTGGGCTCTTTCCTTTGACCCTGAGCATCTCCAAGTCTGGCATCTGCCCTGCTTAAAGTATATTGACGAAAATAATTTGACAAGGCTGAAGGCCTCTTCAGTAAATTACCAGTACACAGCGTAGGATTCAGCCATGGACCATTTCTTGGCTCATTACACTTAAATTAACAAGATTTTTGACTGCATAAGCTGCAGGACTAAGGGCTCAAACGAGAAAAGACTTACAGTATGTGATGAAAGCATACTTCAGTTAAAGTGGGTTATATAAAAAAATTAACCATGTCTAGCTGCACTTAGAAAACATTGCTGTCTAAATAGAATATAATGAGTTTCAAAGCACAAAAGGATATAAAAATGCTGATTTATATAAAGAATGAGATGAGAAGTTGGATTATATTTTTTTAATAGAATGGTTCAAGTTGGAAGGGACCTTAAAGATCATTTAGTTCCAACCTCCCTGCCATGGCCAGACACACCTTCCACTAGACCAGGTTGCTCAAAGCCCCAACCCAGCTGGCCTTTTTATATAAAGCGACCAAAACTGACTGTTCTTCGAAAGATTGAGGGGAATAAACCACATTTTAAAATCTTTCTTCTTGTTTTGTATTTTAACTGAGGGTTCTGTAATTAGGTTCTTGTCTGTCAGATGCAAGAACAGAAAAGTGGTGGATATTTTTTGGCTCTCTTGTTTATTTTCTTCAGCACTTTCCTGAATGAAAGGAACTTTCTGTTTATTTCTTCAAGGTAATTCCAAATGCATAACCCAGAATGACAGCACTTTAAAAGTGAAGACAATTGTTTAATGTCTTTCTGAAGAGTGACTCTAAACCCATATGACTTTTTTTCTCCTCTGCCATTTCCCCTCCAGTTTCTGAGCCTCTCTATATTGGCACCCATAACGTTTTGCATATTAATGAATGATCAATGTAGCACAATTCCACTCTGTATGTGTGAGTGGGAAGCACGCAGCCAGGCTGTGCATCCCTGCTCAGTGCATATGGAAGCAGATTCATAATTTATGCTGCTGCTGAATAAGTCCAGGCAGCAGTGCATTGTCATGATTAATTTAACAAAGCTTACTTAGAAATGACACCACAAGTGATAGCTAATGGCATGTTGTTTCGCTCTTGTAAGTGCATATTCAATGTTACTTTTAAGGAAGAACAAAGGAATGAAAGCCTGTTTTTCCGAGTCAATCCAACAGCTAAAATGGGAGGTTGCATATTTCTGACTTATCCCACCTTGGTACGTAATTTCTCAGGTGTTGTGTCAGCAGCTTGAAGCAGCTCTGGCCTGCAAAGGAGAGGGCAAAAGCTTCCTCCCATGCAAGATGAGGGGTTGAAGATCAGTATAATGTATAATCAGTGTGTTTATCTCACCCAGCCAGGCTGGCAGCACCACCATCCTGACTTGGGATGTTTTGGAATTAACTGCTGCATCACACCTGGGACACAGTATCCTGCCTCCGGGTGCTCCCTGGTCAAATGTATTGAAGAACACTTTGCAGCTCTAACTGTGTGCCTGTCAGCCCCTTAATCCCAGGAACTGCTGGTGTTTCTCGTGCAGCTCTGACTTACCCAACAGGTTCTGGAGGGAAGCTTGGCAAAACAGTTTGGTTCAGCAGCTCTGCAGTTAACAGACTTCCCAGACTGCATCAAAACTGTCGGACCATTGGACCTGCCACATAAACATATGAACTTGATATAAAACTGCTTTTAACCTGTAATTTAATGTTTTTGTGGGGGAAATTGCCGAATCCTCACTTCACATAAACAGATATGAGTCATTACAGTTGAGTATGTTTATTGTACATGGCAGTTCTTTTCAAAACACACATGTTTAAACAGATGGCTTATGTTGACTATTAATGCAGTTCCTGCCATTAAGTTCAGTCTGAACGAAGTAGACAAGAGACTGACATTCTATTGACATCAGAGCTGGTGTATTGCATCTTCTCCTTATGAATGTTCAAATCCAGATCTGCTACTACAGCTTTACCGAAATGTCAACTGCGATAAGTCACGATGTAACTGAAGAGGAGAGATAAGGTACCTGGCATCTTGCTAATTTTACTTTTTGACTGGGATTTACTATTTGCATATTCATGCTGGTATGTTTTAATGGTGAAAGTCCATGTTTGAGCAAATTACTACAAATAAACATAGCAGTAGGATAAAACTTGGCTCTCTGTCTCTACAAACGTGGCAGGCTCAAAGCAAAGCAACCATAGAGGGAACTCAGAGGCGTGGTGGTGCCGTGCTCTGCTCACCGTGCTGCCCAGTGAGGCAGCCACATGGCCCACAGATGCTGCCGTCAGGTTACAGTCCTGCAGGCAAGGCAGCTGTGCCAGAAAACAGGAATGCTCATGTTCCTGCTGAAATCCAAAGCTCCTCTAGTGCAATGTTGTGTTGATGCAGGACATCACAATAGTGACTGGTGAAGGAGGACTGTGAGAGCAGCTCAGGTGGCACAGCCCTGACTACAGAGCTGCTCTGGGGGTCTCTGACTGCAGACCATTTCATTGTGTTTAATAACACCTGGCAGGTTTCTCCCCTACGAACGTGTCACAGAGTTTTTGAGTGCTGGTGTAAACATTCATTCCTGTAGCGAAGTGCTTCATACCTCAGTTGTGTGTTTTGTGGAAAAGTGTCTCCCCTTCTTTTGACCTTGCTACTAGCTTCATCTGATGATGTGAAGGTCTTGCATTGGAAGAAACAGTGAACAATTGTTCCCTATTCACTGTGTTCTTGTCACCTGTGATTTTGTAGATCTACTCTATTGCCTGATGTGTTTTGCAGCCTGAGGAGTTCTGTGCTATTTCTGATATGAAAAGACTTTTGTACCTATCATCTTTATCACTTTTTCCTCTGTCGCCTCATCAGTATTTTACTTACCCATCTTAGTTATTTCCAGATAAACTTCTGCAGCAGGTAGTGTGTTGGCCCTGAAGCTGGAGTCTCACGGCTGCATTTCAGGAAAGAGGGTTTCCAGCCCCCTGTGATCTGTTCAAATGTTGATTGTAGCTTCTGGAGTGACATAGAAGAACAGGTATGGTGAGGCTTGGTGAAGTAGAGTAGCTGTTTAAAACACCTCAACAAGCATGTCATGTTTATTAGATCCTGCTTACCCTTTCCTCAGTACTCTCCTAAAGCAAATGTCATCTTCTGCTACTTCTATTATATTCTTCACTTAAATTTGGTACTAGGAAAAACCACCACAGCATGCATTTCATGTAGGTCCTTGGATAGAGGTGTCTTCAAACGTTCTTTCCTTACTCAGCAGTAACTTTCCAAACGTGCATGTACAGGAGAACCTTGTTAGGGCGCAGAGCTGTGCAGCAGTTATGCTCCTTTGGTATCTGCTCTAGCAGGGCCTGTGACACACATTCTTGGAAGGCCTCCAAGTGTCACTGCGTGATGCTGGACAAGGCTGACGTTGAAGCAGAACAAGGCCTCTTTTATTTCCCAAGTCTGGCACATGTACAGTGTTACAGGGCTGGCCCTGCACAGCAGCGACACGCTGCCTCCACACTGAAATACCACGGGCTGGAGGAGAAGAGAGCTCATTTTCAGTCACACTAATGCCAATACCCAGACAGATGTAGTCAACAATCTAATTAAGCCTGAACAAGAGGAGAAACTTAATACCTACAACCTACAAAACAACTAATCATCCCTCTTTGAATGGTCATTGCTGGAATTAAAAAAAAACTTACTGCATTTCTGGGAAAGCCCTGGGAAAGCTCTTTCAGGAACAACACGCAGTGCTTAAATTTCTTCCGATTTGTTTTTGAGCAGCTTTAACAGTATTTACACAAGAATGAAAGGGACGACTCTATCTCCCATGACATAAAGTCTGCGAGCTTTCATTTCAGTGCATATACTATAATAAAGATGAACTATATGGAGTTATTATTCCAGCACTCTAGAATAGTATTCTGTTTTAAAAAAACCCAAAACAACAACAACCAAAAAAAACCTCCCAAACAAAAAAAACCCCAATCAAACAAAAAAAAATACAACCCCAAACCCTAACCCAAATACAACATCCCACTTCTACAAAAAACCCCTCCCAAACAAAAAAACCCCCAACCAAACAAAAAAAAACCAACCCCAAACCCTAACGCAAATACAACATCCCACTTCTACCTCAAACCCTCAAAAAACCAACCCCACCCTTTCAGAAAAGCAGTAAAATAGCCTGGCTATAGTGGATTTACTCTCTAAAAAGTGCTTCAGAAAAGCAGTAAAATAACCTGGCTATAGTGGATTTACTCTCTAAAAAGCTGTAGTTGCCACTTTACTTGACACAGAGCTAGAGGAAGGAAGTCTCAGAGCCAAAGGGACAAACAGCCCGGGTGCTTTTCCAGTAAGGGGTAACTACAGCAACCAGCAGGCACAGCTATTAGCTTTCTGCAGAAAGACAGAAGTAAACTTAAGTCGTGCTGCAGCTTGATTAAATATTTGTGAAGCTGATTTAACGTACTTTCACCAAGTGAATGTCTAATGCTCTAAACAGCTGTGTAAAAATAACCTACAAAAATAGATTCTTTTTATAACTTTTCTTGAAAAATGGCTCCGGAGCACTCCAGGTAATGCACAGATACCAGAAACATTAAGAAGCTGATTACAACTGTAGGTCATAGCACTGGTAAATCAGATTGCTTGACACTTTCTGTCATTAGAGCTGGATTTTAGTAATTTGTAACTTTGTCAAATTTTAAGTGTTTGGCCTCATGTTTTCTAGCCTGAATGTTAACCTCAGGCTGCGTTTTAGTGAGAAACTTTGATCAAAAAGCACAGCCTTCTCTAAGGAATGAGTTTAGGAATGAGATCTTGGGGTTTCTTTTTTGTCTCCAAAGGCTTGGAGAAATGATTGAAATCCAGCATTGGCATGGCTCCTGCAGCAGGGATTGTCTTCTTGATGTTCTCACGCAAGCTTGAAAGCTTTGATGAACCGTAATTTTCACATGCTCTGTGCAGATTTAGATCTTAGTTGCTAAAATCTGGGTATGTTTTCTCTGTTTCATGCACGCTTGATAAAATTAATTTTTCTTGTTTCTGATCTAGCTGTGTGTGCACGAACTCTAGAGAGTAATTAAGCCTGGTTCAGCCCATGAATACAAGTAAGGTCAGACCTTCCCAATCAAAGCTTTTCTGGCCCCAGTACAGAGCTTGTATATTTTGTTTATGTTGATCCTCCTGCTAGAACTTAATGGATGCGTGAGAAGAAGTGAAGGCCAAGGGGAGGGAAGGGCTGAGAAGAAGAAGTGAAGGCCAAGGGGAGGGAAGGGTCACCTCAGGGAGCTGGCAGGACATGACAGCCCTCTGCAGGAGTGGGTAATGACACTTGTAAGATGGTGCTGGCTGGGGGGGACCAGCCCAGCTGGCCAAGGAGTCAGCAGGAAAACAGCTCAAAGAACTGGGGCTCTGAGAAGACAAAAGAAGAGAAAAGAGGCAGGGAAGAGAGTCAAACTAGGAGAAGCAGCAAAGCAATGGAGATTTCACTGTAGCTGCACTGGGCAAGGCAAGGATACAAACAACAGCAGCAGTTTCTCAAGCAGCAAACCCAATTTATTGGGTTTGAGGATAAAATTTAACGTAAATAGAATTTATGTGTTTTTTTTTTTCAAGCAGCAAACCCAGTTTATTGGGTTTGAGGATAAAAATTCACGTAAATAGAATTTATGTGTTGGTTTTTTTTAATGTGTGTTTTCTGAAAGTCAAGTTCTAAAACAAGCTATTTCAAAAGAATAATATTAACCATAGCACAATTGCCACCATAGCAGGAAGCATCCAGATCTTTCCTGGAGTGGAAGTTTCACAAGTTATTGCTAAAGGATTTTGGGAGAGGGAAATGGTTGGTCCAAGTGCTGGGGGCAGGTGGGGAGAAGCAGCCCAGGTGAAGTCACTTAGAGATAATCTGGCGAACACTGCTTGTTAGCAATGAATGCCTGCAGGTAACATGTATTCATTTAAGAATTTCTCAAATCCAAATTATGGAAGAAAGTGAAGAAAAAATAATTACATTACGTCTGCCACAATTTCTTGAATTTTACCTCCTACTACGTTAAACAAATGATATGATTTTGCTGATGCTTTATTTTCAACTTCCTGTTTCTAAGCTTATTGGCATTTTCTCATGCCATGAAAAGGTAAAACTAATTTACTGAGAGATTATGAAGTACTTAATGTTGGTTTAGGCAGTGATTCAGCTTCTGTCTGACATTAAAGATCGATCTCCACTTCCTTTTGGTTTGTGGATAAACGTGACAAACTTTCCACAGCCACACGGGTTAAGGAGCCTTCAGATAAAGCAAGCAAATGAGAGTGCTACTCTTTAAAACTTATCTGGTGCTTCAGATCAGCAGCTACCAGTCTAACCTCGTGACTGCTGAGCAGCAGTAGGATTCCTAGGCTGGCCTTCCATGTCCTGTGCTACCAGCTATAAGGATGGGATGTCTTCCTGGCAGTGGCTCTAATAAACTGGTAAGCCATAAAGCTTAATACTCAGACAGAAATAGATGGTGAATGGCCATCAGGTGTTTGTTCTGCTGTGGTTTTAGTTGGTTTTTTTGTTTGTTTTCCTTTTCTCTCAACACCAACAGTTTTTTTCCTTGCTTGTATGCAGAGTATGAACTGCCATTCAGAGAAAGACATCTCACCAGGCAGCCTCTCCAAGCTGGTGGTTTTGACATACCGGAGGTGCCCTCTTTATTCTCTGTGTCATTTGGCTCTGGCAGCTCTGAGTGCATACAGAGAGACATTGCAAGCAGGATATACACACCTTCAAGGTACAAAGCGATTATTTGTTGCTTTATGCACACAGTTGATAGGTGGAACTAACAAGTTCCCAGGCTAAGGAGAGCTGGCAGGGACCTGGCAGTGAGGGGGGATGACTGTGGGCCTTCCTTGTCCCCTGGGACAAGCTCACACTCAGAGCTGTTGAGTCGCCATCCTTGATTCCCTGTTTTCCCTTAGGGCTCTATGCCTTTCCAGGAAGTGACCTTCCCCATCTCAACAATCTTGTCTCTGCCTGTGGCTTTTATCTTTCTTATTTTGTCTGGCTCTGGCTGACATACTGTCTCACAGCTCTTTCCCACAATTCAGCGGTTTTCTCAGAAGCCTGAGTGAGGATTATGCTGCTGTGCAAAACAGAGCCTGAGATTAGGGAGAGCTGACCCAAAAGGCAGAGGGGAACAGCAGAGGCATAGCCATGAAGTCTGAATTTCCACGGATGTGTCCTGAGAGAGCTGAGCCAAAAGGCAGAGGGGAACAGCAGAGGCATAGCCATGAAGTCTGCATTTCCATGGATGTGTCCTGAGAAGCTTGGTCTGTGGAATCTGACACCCTCCCACCCTCGTGCTGGCACAGAGCTAAAAGCCCAGAGCTCGGATTCAGTAGGATTGCACAGAAACCATTTTGGAGCATCATTAGTGAGAGCCAAAATTAATTCTCTCAATTGACTAATATTGAGACAGCCCTATTTATCAGTGTCTAAAAAAAGCTTGGTACTGGACAGTTTCCGTTTGCATTAGCAAAAGAGTTATTTATAAGTATCTTCCAGGAAAGTGCACATCCAGCATTTCTGATGGAGCAGCACAGGAAGTTTTCATGGTGAGCACTACACTGAGGGACAGACCTGAGCTCACAGAGAAGGAAAGGCAACTGGAGGGTGTCACAAACCTGTTAGGTACCAATGAGTACGTAAGGAGGTTCTATGCCAAATATTTCAAACTCTAGTTTTGTGTTTTAAAAACTGGTAAGTCTTGTGGGTTTTTTAAAATTTTTTGTTATTTGATCTATATTTCTTTTGTGGTTTGGTTTGTTTTGTTTTTTAATGCTAAGTATGTCAGCATGGAAATCCTATGAATTCAAATGCTATGCTTGAAGTGAGAGGAGCTGAGGTAATATCATCCCTCATAAAATCTGAACGGTGACCATGAAATGATAACAGATGTGAGACTGAGAAACTCAAACTGCCTGGACGTGTTGAGGAGATGTCACGCTGGGAACGGGACAGAGTAATTGCTTCCTTCTTCAAGAAGCCAGTGACTCACGGCATGAAAAGTCAGTCCTGACACACTCCTGACCAGTGTGCAAGATAAATAAAAATGAATGAATAGTTTTGATTTGCAGTAGAGACTATCATCAAATATCATCCTTCAGAAGGAAAAAACCAGATTCGCTACAGTATTTCATAACGGCAGACAAGTGAGGAGGCTTGCTGAAAGGAAATTTAACTTAAGCCGTGCAGGGAGCATTTAAATAATTCTTATTAGAAACTCAAATGCATGCACCCCTATCTAACATGCTTTCAAAAAGATCAAATCACAAAGAAGGTAGTATAACTAAACTTCAAAGGGAGCCTTGTCAAAGTGAACGAACATCCTCCAAAAAAATCACATCCAAATCACAAAAACAGAGAAGAGCATAAGCTCTGGTTTTAGAATTAAATTCCCTCAAAAGGAAGCCATAAGAATGAATAAAAAAATCCCCAAATGCATCTAAAGTAAAAAACCTGCCAGAGGTTCTACAGGATTCATTGGAAATGGTACATACAAGATGGCTCATGAAATAAAAGGTTACACCAAAGATATTTACAAACGGATCGGGCTGTATCGTGGAGGAGGAGGTGAAGGATAGTCCTACATGAGGGTCTCTCTTTCCAGGGACTTGTTCAGAGGAATTGTCTCAGACCCTAGTGTCCAGAGGCACTAAGTTTTGAAATGTATCTATAAACTGCACTATATGGAATTGTCAGGATCACACAGTTCTCAGTACTCACCTGATGACTGGAAGACTGGACAGCAAATTGCTTGGAATTCCCATGTTCCATTTCCTGTCATGCCTCATGGCTGCTCTGCGCATGTGCTCTTTGGCCAAAACCAATTAGACAGCACATCTGGCACTTGTGGTCATCATTCTATCTTGAAAACATGTAAAAATATCTTACTTTTAAGACTTACTGTGTCAGTCTTGCCACTTAAAAATCTTATTGGTTAGTCTAAACTGCCTCCTTTTAAAGGAACTTGTTCCTTTCATAGTAGTTGCACATTTCTTACCAATTGCCAGGGAAGCGCAGTTCCTGCCAAGCTTCAGGTTAAGAGGAACGTTCATAAATTGCACTTCTATTCTGAATTACATCATGTTGCTATGCACTTGAACCATTCAGGAAATATTCCCTTTCTTTCATAAAAGCCTTTGATCTGCTTCCTGGGAAAAGAAACATTTTTTTAATCTTTCTTGGTCACAGAGCAAGAATTTTTTAATTCAAGTTAATTAAAAAGCATGGCAATTTATCTGATATTTCCAGGGAAATTTATGGCTTTAACAATTTCAAATCAGATTACCAGGTGCACAACACAGACACAATCAATAGAGGACAAATATATTGCTAAAGAGAAATGTAAAAATTTGGAACTGGGTTGTTGAGCACTTCCATTTTTGCAGGTTTCTAGGATGTGTCCTTTATAAAGCTTGTCCAGAGCCTTACTCTCTGGATGACTGATCCTTATCTTCAACCAAGGTCCACCTCTGCCAGCATTGGACTCACCAGCTCTTCTCCCTTTATAACATTAGTGAGCTCTGCAGAAAAGCTGTATCCCTGTCATCCTTCAATTTGCTGGGCTAATCCAGCCAAGCTCTTCTGTTCTGTAAAATACTCTCCTGTCCTCTGGTCACGCTATAGGATACATTTTAATTCATCTTGACAAAGCCTGACCTACTCTAATAAAGGCCTTTGTTTTTAAAAGTTCTAATTTGTGTTACATGAGAGACCCACACAGGGCTATGAAATATGAAGGCATAATCTAGTTCTGTATGCTTTTTCTTATTTTATTATTTTAAATGAGAAGGGTAAATATTAACATCGCAGAAGAACATCATATAGGGTCAAATACTGTAAACTTAAAATGAACAATATTATTATCAAACCAAAATGAGTTGAGATTAGATCATGTGTTACCAATTATATTGGCTTAGTTCACCAGTTTATGAAGCCATAAAGCCAGTACAGTGTGTAATCAAAGTGTGTGCCCAACAGAAAAAAAAGAATTTACATTTGTTAATCTTGCATCAGGTGTTTGGAAGAGGAGTTGCTTCCTTTCGGGTTGCCAGTGCCAGGGTTCACTGAATAAAGGACTCTGCCTGGAAGAGAGGATAAAGCCTATTTAGCGACTCTCGGGGAACTACAGAGATCTTTGCAATTTGTTGCCTCAACACTTCCTCCTGAAAATTTCATTGCATTTGCAGAGTTATTGTTTACCCTCCTTAGTTATTACCTGCCTTTTCCCAAATGAGCACAAAGCCTGCCAAGCGTTTTGCAACAAGGTTGATTTCTGGACCAGCCTCAGGACTAACATCCGTAGGTCAATACACCCTACTTTCAGAAGGCTCTTTCTGATCTCAGTTTAAACAGGATTATGAGCTGAGGTTTGCTTTTCAGCTAATTATGGAGTTTTTCTACAAACCAGTACTGTCTGATCTTCCGCACTGGCTAACAGTAAGTGAGCTGTTCACCTTGGACACAACCTGTGTGACCCAGTCCTCTTCCAGCTGGAAATCTTCATACTCAAGTCCTGTTCAGAGCTGATCTTCATCACTCTCTGCTAAAGAAGAAAATCTCAGAAAGGGTCCATCTATCATTTTTTAGGTTAAGTACTGAGAATCATACAACCATAAGCATTTTTTTTCCTATTTCATCTGAGAACATACAATAATTTGTGAGCCAAATGTATTTTTCAAGATAATTCTTTTACCTCCACTGAAGTTTTCAAATTTCTGGGTAATCTGAGCGCTCTTTTTTTTTTTTTTTCATTTAAAAAAACAATAATTCTGAAATATTGGAAATGTATCTTTTCAAGTTGCCATCTCTTGTCTTTACAAGAGATGGGTTGCATTTTGGAGTTTGACCAATTTTAGATGCTAGTCTAACATTGTATGATTATATATTCTTAGTACTTCTTAAATATTCTGTAAAAATAAGTATTTTTCAAAATATTTCATAAGTGAAAAAAAAGTATTTTTATACAGCTTAATAGCATTAACTATGAAAGATAAAAATTAGAAAAATTTTATTTTTCCAATCACAGCCTGAAAAACTCATTTATGATTGAGCTGACTGATGCCATTATTAATTATAATATGCTTTTATCCTTTCCTGACTACACCAATTCCCTGAAATATTATAAGTGGTGCTTCTGCACACAGTTTTACTCCCTGGTAAACATACCCATCTGTTCAGTGTTTTCCTTCCCGCATAACTTTTACCTCAGTAGTGAAAGCAGCTGACTGAGGGCATTAGGCAAGAAGTACGTCTGTTCCTACAGATTGTCTTGTTATAATGAAATGGGAAATCAGGTGATGTTAGTTCTATCAGACGATACCTGTGTTGGCAAATGCCAGCTGGAGTTCAAGGATTGGAGTGACAGGAAGGTTTAATGCCTGATACCTTAAGTACCTATGTGCCAAGGAACATTTCTGTTTACTTCTAGATAGCTCTACTTTGGAGAGTGTTTCAATGGAATACAGCTTTTCTCAAAATTGTATATTCTCAAAGTAGATAAAATTTCATGTGGTTATGGGCCAAATCATTGTGTCATGGAAATGGTTATGAATCGACTGAATTTCAAATATCTTTCTTGTTCTCAAGAAGGGGCGTCATCTTCGGATTTGACTATATTAATGGCAGAGGGATACACAGAGTGTTCATACCAAGTGTAGGATAGTGGAAGGATCTTTCTAAGCTCTGTTCCCTTTCATGCTGGTGACAAGTTTCAGAAGTATGATGCTAGCAAAATTCAGCCCATCAAAGCTACATATCCTCACTGGCTCTGTGCTTTGTACATAAAAATCTTAAGCTCCCAGTTTTACCCCTGGGAACTTTCTAATAGCAACTATCAGTTTCACAGGCCCTGGAGCCTCTGCAGGGAAAAAAATCTTATTGCAGATCAGACCATTTCAAGACCACAGTTTTGGTTTGCGTGTTACTATGTGCTGTTGTACTAAAATGCTGCATATGGAACGTGGTCCGCTGGTTGCCGTAATGGCAAGTATTTGTTGTGGTCACATCATATCTCTTCTCATAAAGTGAAAACGGACAAAGTAGAGAGAAAGTGTGTTTTGTGGGCAATTGTATGTTACTTACAAGTGCTCTACTGCCTTGATCCTCATTGGAGAGCACTGTCTCACCAAGGAGTTTGCAAGTTTGCAAGTTGGATTTTGCTTGGAGGCTGTGATCTCCATGCTGACTTCAGCTGCAATATGAGAGAGCACAAGATGTTTCCCTTCAGTTCAGAGGATCAGGAGAAATCTTCCAGATCTGTTCTTACTAATTGATTCCCACTTAATGAGGAATATGCTTTTGAAACCAATGAGTGACTAATTTAAACCCAGTGTAGATCTTATCCTGTGCATTTTAGAGGAGCAAAAAAAAATAAATAAAAAGAAATGAAATGACAAGGACTGTCTGCTTCTCAGAGTTGCAGGAGAAATGTTTTATTTTGGGAAAAAACATGTATCTAACCAGGACAGAATTTGGAATAATATAAAGTTGAATAAGGGCAGCATGGGCAGGCTACAAGATGTGCTGGAGATTACCACGTAGAGGTTTCAGCTGGAGCAAAAATATTTAGTTTGGTATTTTAAATGCTTTTTAAACTGAGATTAAAATAGAGAAAGTTTTGAACATGAGAGGTTTTTGATCTAGCAGTGGAATTCAGATGGATCCCTGTGCCCATGCAGTTAACCCATTTATGGGATTAAGATTTGGCATAACGTGTAAGCTACCAGGGCTCTTGATGTGTGTCTGTAGTTCAGGATTGCTACTTTGAATTGATAAAATGCATAAACCAAGAGATTTGTCATTCAAATAGTCTGATTTGCACAGACTCCTGCAGCACAGCATGTGAGTGCTTAATTCATGTACATGTTTAATATTTAACTGAGTCCTCCTTTGTTATAGTAACAACAGGAAAAAAAAAGTACATATGGTTCGCAGCTGTCAAAAATAAAGACGTAGAAGCATGGTAAGCAGAGGCTCTTAATTTCTATCTCGTCTGCCAAGAACAACCTTTCACCTAAAACGCATGATCACCTGTAAGAGGTAGTTGCTATGCTATTATTTTTATTAGGTATTATTAAAGAACTTTTACTTCCTCCTGATAAGGGACAGCTTACAGTACCAGCAACAACCTAAAACACTGTTTGTATCCATAAGCTTCAGCCTTTCCCAGTCACGTATGCTGACTGCTCAGAGGGTTAGTGTTTGGTGAGAAAGGCAAGCTTATGAAATGAGGCTAAATCTATAGATAGTGTTATTATTGAATGCTAGTATTTAAGGTTGTGGAATATGCTGAAAATAAAGGGTTTGTGTCTCTCATTATTTTCTACAAATAATTAACAAATTATCTAGCCTAGGCCAGTTTGCCTTTAGTGCTTCCTAAGCAGGATGGGAGAGGCCGTGGGGGAAATCCCCTTTTTTCCTCAGTGGTCAGGAAGACTAGATACAGCTAGAACTGCCAAAACATCAACTTGAATTGGATGCTGCCAAAGAACTAGATTCTTCGGCATTTCTTTCTCCCTTTTTATGGAAAGCTTTTTATTCATATTGTAATGAAGGACAAGGAAAACAAAGTGGCACTAATTTGTAGAACTGTAAGAAATAAGGCGCCCCTCCGCTGAGAAGGACGAAGGTAGGGAACAGAGCAGAGAAGATGTTTTCCCTGGGTTTTCTCTGGCCAGGGTGATGTAGCTTGATGCTGAAGGCACATAATAAAGATGAAACATGACGTCTGGCATTACCCCACGTGAGGGGACTGACTCCAGCATTTAATGGAGGGGAGCAGAGGCTGTTGCATGCATGATCTTTTGGGGACCCCTGAGACAGATCTCAGGGAGGTGTGGTCATTTGGCACCCTCTGCTTTCTCACAGCTGCCACTGGAATCAGTGACAAGCACCAGGTTAGTGCTAGTGTATTTAATAATTAAATTCTGTACAGATAGAACATCAATCTGCCTGGACCACAATGTCATCTAATCCTCCCTGAATGATAAAGTATTGGCCATACCATCCAGCTTTGGCATATCTGCAAATTTCAGAAGTACCCAGGTTGTTCTGGAACTTTAGCTCTCCCTACGATTAAACATTAAGCATAGTGGGTATCAACAGCAATCCATGAGGAACACTGTTATTAAGAAAAACTATTATTTATGTGATGGATTCTTTTTCCATCTTTACAATTTCTCTTTGAACATAACCTGTTAATGTCTCCACTTCATACTCATATGTATTCTTGTCCTCTCTATTTAAATGTAATGATTGTAAAATAATTTAAATATTTTGAAAGTATAATAAATCTTTAAATGATATTTAATAAATAGTGATTTGCCACTGGGTACTGCATCAAATCCATTGCTTAGATTTATCTAGATTAGGTCTACTAAATTGTTCTAGTCTGTGCAGCTAGTTATCCAGTCAAAGATAGCAACTGGTATGACATGATCTACTTTTGATAAATCTATGTTACAAATCGTTCCACTCTGAGGGCTCAGGCTTAATTTCTTTGGACATCTACACCGCATCCTTTGTATAGAGCCTCCCCTCTAGCTCCCCTCCACTCATATCCTCAGCCAGGGCCGTGGTCTAACCTAGGACCTGCCTGGGTTGTAGTGCTGGAGGTTAGTAACACCCAATGCGGACTCAGTTTGGATTTTAATTTGATGTGGTAGGGTTATGAGAGGCAGTACTGCTAATTACTGTTTGGGGAGTCCTCCTGACTAAACAAAACAGATGAGGTAAACAGGAGGAGTAATTTGAAGCTAAACCAGAGACAGAGGTGCTCAGCCAGGCAGGCACCAGTCTGTCGCGTGGTACCACCTCTCCTGACAGAGGTAAGAGCAGGTGCTGTTCCTCGTACTTGAACTTGCCACCCATGGAATCTGGGCACCACAGAGCGTGATTTAACATAATCTGTGTGAGATACTCCTTACAGCTGTTGTCAATTCTACAGACATTGTATCTACTTATATAATTTTTACCCTGGCATTTTGGTACTATACTTCTTGTTCTGAGATTCGCATTTTAACTGACAGCATAATTAAAGATCATTGCTGCAGGACTGACTTACATTTTTTCGTTCTGACTCTTTCAATATTCTGTCAGAGAGATGACCAGGCAGAGCTCACGCCTGAAGTCCCCCTGAAAAGCTGTGCTTTCTACTTCTCTGTACTTGCTGCCTCAGGTGGTGTAACGTTATTCTCCCGCACATCCCGATCCTTACTGGACACTGAAGTGAAGCTTTCCTTTAGAGCTTGGCCTGTATTTACATTGCCCCCTCCATAGCTGGTCGCCCACTTCTCCAGTCCATGTCCTCTTTTCAAATGATGTCAGCTCTTGGAAGATTTAGCTGCTGTAGTTCAGTTGATACTATCTGACGGCTCTCGTAGAGTGAAACACTGCCCTTGTTGACTCCAGGGCGAGGAGACGGTTTTCCTGCTTCAGTCACATTGCGCCGGCACGTGGCTCCGTCACATGGTGGCTACAGATCCCTGGCTGAGGTCACCAAACAGTCTGATGAGAGGTGAAGGCAGTCTCAACATGTGCAGCGAGATGAGCAACTCCACAAGCCTTTGGGGAGCCGAAAAGGTATGGTCGCAGGCATGCAAAAGCATTTTGCAAATCTTCACGTGGAATTGAGAGATTTTATTACCATGCATACTTGCAAGACAAGCATATATCTTATTCCTTTTCACATGTGCAGCAAGATGAGCAACTCCACAAGCTTTTGGGGAGCCGAAGACAAAGCAAAGGTATGGTCGCAGGCATGCAAAAGCATTTTGCAAATCTGGAATTGAGAGATTTTATTACCATGCATACTTGCAAGACAAGCATATATCTTATTCCTTTTCGTAAATGAAAATTGCTGTACTGTTTCACACATGTTTCTTCTTCTGTGATCTTTCATTGAAGGATGCTGTTATGTTCTATGGAAAAATGAAAGGTGGTGATAGCTTAATAACCATGACAGTCTACCCCTGCTTTCTGGTTTGGCACAATTGTATTAGAGCATTGAAAACTCTGGATTTTGCACAATCTGAGTCTTTAACCTGACATCTACAACAATTTTAGGAACTATCACTATTAAAGTTTCCAATTTATTGAATTCCACTAAAACAGTATCAACATTATATGGATCTGCTATCTGGGGGGTGGCAGTACAGGACTGTCCCATTGCCTGTGGGAAAAAAAGTTGCAATTCTTGGCTACAACTTTAAGTATCTGAATGTCAGAAGAAGCCAAAGAATGCCACGTTGTAGAGAAGAGACGGAGGCCAAATACAGGAGTAAACGTCGAGGCAGACTTTTGCTTTTAAAATCAGGCTGTAGCTGCTCAGTGTCCCTTATCAGTTGAGCTGAGAAGAACTAAAAAATAAAGAATTTAAGGGCAGATATTACGTTTGAGTTCAAGTACAGTATTTGAATATTTTGTATTTTGAGACATAACCTTCAAGTGCCTTACTTGTGAGAGAACTGATAACTGGCCACTTACATACTTCCTACTCTGGTATAATGAGTACCCAGATTATGCATATAAAACAATAAAGTTGGATTGGTAAGTGTCTTTATCTTCATTGGATATTTAAATACGATAAACTGTGAAATTAGATAAACTTTAAAAATGCTATCCAAAGGTTTGTTTTTATGTGAATAGTTAGTCTCAACAGTGAAATAGAAATAGAAATAGAGACCATGTTCTTCTGCAGTGAGAGATTACAGTAACTCTCTGGCTGTCTTTCTGCTCTTGCTGAGATGTGTGGAAAGATGCATCTCCAAAACTAGGAACTTACCTGCTCATGAGTATGCCCTTGCAGTGTGGTGATGGATTGCCTTGCAGGGTCTGGGGAACTCCTGACCCACCAGAGAGGAGTCTGCATAAGTTCAGCTCTGAAAAATGGATTTTGTGTCCCTTGAAGCAGGCTGCCTTCATGCAAGAGGAACCCTGGGTCAACTTCATTAGTAAGGGTAAAGGAGAAGAAGAACATATTTGCATTAGGAAGCATGGATTTGCAATAATGGAAGAAGCACAAACTGGTAAAACACGCCTGGTTCTGTAATTTATTTTAAGATTCCTCCTGTGTTGCATCTCTGCCTCAACTTGTTGAAATGGCTGAAGTAACAAGTTGCTACAATTTATACTGAAGTTGGCATTTTCTGCAGGCTTCTAACTGTGCCTTTCTTGCTGTTACTGTCAAAAATTCAACCACCAAGAACAACTAATATGGAAATTTTTTTTTTTTTTCCTATCCTGCCCCTTTCCTCTTGCTTGCCTGCCCTTCCTTTCCTGTTGCCAGAACTAGACCATCACATAGAAATATGGGAGATCAGGTCATGTCCTTCTCCTTTTCAAGTAGACCGACCTAACTGAGAATTTACTATGTCATGTAACTAGCACCTTTGGTGGTGGTGTTGACTTCTGTTGTGAATTCTTAAAGACATTTCGGTGAAATTGTGACCCTTTATACAATGAGAAATATCAAATGCAGTGTCTTCCTTATATGTCTATGAATCCCCTCTGCCTCCAAGAACAGACAAGCTTTCCAGTAAACGGTCCCTTTTTAGGAGCACCATAATGGCTAGGCTCAGTATTATTTTCATGAACAAGTCATCATGGACTACATTTTCAAAATTTTGGGAGAACTTTCAACCAACAGGGATCTGAGCCCCTCTTTCCACTTAATTTGCTGAATTAAATTGTGGAAGAAGCAATATCCTCCAATGGTCTCTTTAATTTAACACTCTGGCAGTCTGACTGTCAACCAGTATTATCACATCTGAGTTTTAGCTCTTGCTGTAAACGCTTAATACCTGTTCTTGCCTTATGGTAACTATAAAGTTAACTACTTATGTATCCTTGCTCTTTTCCAGCTCTAATCCTACAGGAAAAAACTTCCTTTATCAAATTCACCAGGCCTGACACCTTGCTAAGACTGTACAGGCATCACGTCAGCACACTCCTATAGTACAGGGAGAAAACTCTCCCCAGGAAAAGGTGAGTCCTTGCAGCTTGGGACAGAGGGAAATTACCTGTTACCATATCTAATTATGAGTGGTGACTAATAGTGCAGAAGGAAGTGGAGTTCAGCATTGTATAACTGAGACACATCTCCACTGATTTTTTAGAGTTAGTGAATTTGAATAAGAAAGCAAATAAATAAAATCTAAACCTGAATAATATCTAACTCATGAACTTAATTATGGATGGAATGAAGTGAATTTTCAAGTGGATATAGAGAACTTCCACAGTGAGAGTGGTCAAGCACTGAAACAGGTAGCTCAGAGGCCCTGTGCAACCTCTGACCTTGGAGATTTTTGAAATTGAACCTGACAAGGCCTGAAGAGACCTTATTTCACTTTGAAGTTTGTTCTGCTCTGAGCCAGGAAGTAAGGCTAGATGTTTCCAGAGATCCTTTCCAAACTACAATCATTCTGTGATTCTAAGTTTTCTAAGTGCCTAAGTGAGAGGCACTTGTCAGGTTTCTCTTGGAATGTAGAGGAACATCTGTAAGTTTCTCTTGTGACGGTAGTTTGATTATCGCTATCAAAAACTTGTAGCAATTATTTAATTTCTATTGATTGCTATGCTGACTTTTAAAAAAACATTTAGAATGAAATTAAAAATACAAAGAATTAAATTCATTTATGTTGCCAATGAACAATTTTTTTTAGATAGTGCCTAATTCTAATTCCTTTGGAGTCTGCTTCTGGAAGGAGAGCCTTTTCCAACTTACATCATCTGGAAGCAAGCACCCGGGTAGTCTTACCGTGAGAGTCTGATCTTGTGTTGCAATGATGGACAACTCTCAAAGTCTGCTGCAGGCCTCTAGAAAATAAGAAGGTAAGAACATATTTTCCTGATAGCGCACAGCTTCAATTATTTCTCTGCAAAAGGTGCTGCCTGCCACAGGAATGTGCTGCAAGTCCCTCCTCAGCCTTGTTTCCAATAATTTATCATGTCTGGCAGTTCTAGGCCATGGCTTGCCACTTGCTGTGGGTGGTAAGTAAAAAAATTAAAGGTTGTTTTATTTTTTTCCCTTGGACTTTATAAAACAGTATTGATATATCTATGCAAAGGGTCAGAGCAGAGCAAAACAATGAGGGCCTTGTGGTGGAACTACTCATTTTTAGGTTAATAGCGAGCGCTTTGTCCTAGATGTCTGTTAGTCGTGTTACACTGCACATAGATTTTTTTTTTGTGATAAATGTAATTCATACATTGAATGTATGAAATGTACGAAATGTACGAAAAGTACGGAAGTACAAAGTACGAAAAAATTTGACATTTGCATAAATTACAGATGATGTAATACGCACAGAAAATAAATGTTAGAAGATTAACGTGGGATTTTTCAGAGCTCCACAAGGCAATCATTTCAGACTGTGATAGAGTTAAGGAAAAGTTGAGATCCCTTGAACTGTTTTTTTAGGTATTTCCTAAGTGTACTTGAGCTACCTCTGATAATGCCACTACCCCAGCTACCAAGTACATGCCATCTGGAGGTGAGATCCCTACTTTATACAAATGGTATTTCTCACTAGCCCTTTAGACATTATATTATTGACACTTTTTGAAGTCTTGCTGATGCTGCAAAACTCAGCTGCCACTGACAATCCAGGAACATACAAGAGATTTGTTTTGCTTTGTTTGGTTTTTTGCACAATGTGAAATGAATAAAAGTTACACACTGTGTTTGTTTTTTCCTGACTCATGAATCCTAATTAATTTATTTTTTTGCCTTACACCTTTTGGTAAACATCAAGAGGTCTGAGCCACAAATTGCCGAGAAGAATACTGTGACATGAAATACTGAAATAATTCTTAATGCATGTTGACTTTGTATATTGTACCTATATTGATTCTAACAGAGTTAATACAGTTTTAAACTTATAGAAGACGCAAAAGAATCACACATGGTGTTTGTTTTGTTATGTAATGTACATGTGTTGCCATGAGAGATAAATATTGCCAAGAAGAAACATCTGAAGACAATAGCTCTTTGGAATAATACCTGCTGTTTAAGATTTATTTTGGAGCAGTTAGCCCATCTTTATTCAGAGACCTTTTTTTTTTTTTTTCAGAGTTTTTCCTGTGACTTAAGTGATGGCTTTGCTGGCTGACCTGCTGGCTGACTGTGCAGTTAGCAAATAAGGTAACCTATATTAATGTTTTCAGCTTCCACTAAGATTTTGAAAATTGTAGGGCTTCTTATAAATAGATACTGTAAGAAGTAGGTGACAATAAACATTTTGTATTTCCTGTTCCTTAGATTAATTTCTTTTTTCTTTAACTAAAAGCAACACTGTGTACTTCAGCAATGTCTGGACTGATATGAGAAGAAAAACTCTTACTTTTTTTTTTTTGAGTTCATAGAAAGTGGGACATTTGGATTTTTTCTTTACTGTATTATTTAAAGACTGACTCCACATCTGCGAATTCACTAACTCTGTTAGCAAACAGTAACTGTCCTACTGTTCTTAACTGTTTCCAAATCAATCTTTGACTGATAATAAATAAGTGATTGTGCTACCTTTCAGCATCCCATTTCTTCAATATCAGTTAGGACTTTTCCAGAAAAGCCACTCATAAAAATTTACCTCAAAAAATTCTATCATTTATGATTTAGTGGGTTTTGCTAGAGGACTGTTCCAATGTCAAAGTGAATGTGCAAATAACTGAAATTTTTAGCAAGTCAAATAGCTTAGCTTTGGATTAATAGATATTTACATGTGCTTTCACAATGAACAAGTTAAAGTTCTTATCAAGAAAATGAAATTACACTTGTAATTTAAAAGCAAATGTGTTTGGTCCAGACTAGACTATTATTGCTTCCTTCATCACTCAAAGGCAACATTCATTAAAACAAGTGCATTTTTATTTCAACCCATTTTCTTACATAGCTAGTGGCTTTTTCATCTTCACAGCACATCACTGAAGAAAAGAGCTATGATTCTCAGAAATACCATCAAATAAAGCCCTCATGAAAAATTAAGTCAGATTCTTCTTATGATAGAACTTAGCTGTTTTTTGAAGATTCCTTGGCTCAGGATAAAAGATAGCAATGTAATTTATATTTCAAATCTCAGTTGGTATGACATGCATATGATCAATACTGATCAGATAGAGTAAGCCTCTTCGCTTAGAAATTTCATGCAGAAATTCAGATTCTAATTAAGAAATCTCTTAGATGCAGATAACGTGTAGTAGATAAAGGAAATGATTCTTCAAGCTCCCTTGAAAAACACCTGCCATAGTCAGATTGTTCATGGAGCTATCCTCATTTGTGGGTACAGCATTACTTCCTACCATGTGCTATCTACACTATGCAGTCCTTGTTTTTTCTAATCATCACATGAAAGCTATGAAAAGCTTTGGCTCTAGGCTTTTAACAAAGAACAGTCAGTGGCAATGCCATTTTTTCCTCTAGATTTATCTCATAACTTGTTCACAGTAGCCAGTGAGGATAATTTTAGGCAAGGTTTGTCTTGGAGGATAATGGGAAATGGTAAACATTTATTTATTTAGAAACAGATGTGATTTTTTTTATAAGGGGAAAATATAATTGTGTTAGAATTTAGACAACATATCTGACTTAAAATTATCCTGAGAAACAAAACTGAGGTTTCTCCAGATGATTGAAGTTGTTGCTATGAATAAAGATCAACTTTGTCCCTTTGTAAAATGGCTGTGCCTTGGCCTTAGTAGCTGAAGTTAATACTGGCTTCATATACTGTCACGCTTACATTTGTATATCCCTTAGTCCTTACATACTCCTTTCTGGCAAGTCTTTTATATTTTATTGTTCCATAAGAGAGAGGACACACACTGAAACAGTATCAGAGCTTTTTGCAGATGTGAGATCTTCAAGGCTCTCCACTGAGAACTGAGAGTCTCCAGCTGTCACAGGGGAAAAGGGAAAGCAGATTGCTATGTTCTGGCATCTTCTTAGTGCTTCAGACATCGTAATATATCTTAATTGGTTGGTTTTACTTATTGCTAGTGTAACTGAGATAAGTGTTGCAAAAATTTCTAAGAATTATCTTAATAATTATTACTTAGTTGTTTTCTAACTGCTAAGTAATAGCATTTATTCTAATTATTCTGCTATTCTAGTTCTCTTAATGTAATTTTGGTGGTTATTTTAGTATTTGACATAATTTTGTTTTCCATTATTTTCTGCAAATGCATTCAGCATTAATGAAATCTCCTGTGAGCTGTGCTACTTAGAAACAAGCTTAAAAACAGTGAAAAATGAAGTTACTATAAAAAATCTAAATCAAAAAGTAAATAAAATTAAAAACAATATCTAATACTACTGTTTCTGTAGAATAATGAACCTTTCTTTAGAAAAGGCAATATGGCAAAATCATCAATACTGATCACTTCCATCTGTTAAATCCCAAAACATGTGCCTAAAGTATATACTTCTGAGACTGTAACAATCATAAATTGCAGCAAGGGAAATTCTCAATAGCTAAAAGGAATAAAACAGCCCTCATGATCAGAGTGGATAAAAGGAACAGGTTTCTCAAAGAGTTTTAGCGATAACCAGTTTTGGAGATTTTTAAAGCTTGTCCAAACGTGGCACTCCGTAATCTGATCTAACTCCTCACACAGTCCTCTCATCTTTGTGCTGAGAGTTGATGCTACATTATCTGGCTGATTTCCCAACTGCTAATAGGCATACACTGTTTAGTGAGGTACAGTGGATAAAATTTGCCATCTGTTCACTTGCCAACAGTCAGATGGTAGGAGCTGGAGATTTTGTAATATTAATGCAGTAAAATAGGAGAAGAAAGCTTGGTTATTTAGCTATCAATCCATGTACCCACCTCAGCTTAGCATTAGAATTGCTGTGACAATTATTTATTTATGCATGCAAGATTGTGTAACGGGCAACACTAAACAAGTATTTGTTGTTGCAAAGTGTATTTCTATTCATAAAACTGAAGCTTTAACTGATACTTTCAATGCAGATTTCCTGAGGTTTTTTTTAGGTTTCATTTTTTGTACAGGCTTCCCTCAGATGTTTGAGCAAATCTTGCCACATAAATAGCAAAACCACAAAGTTGTTACAGTGTTGTGTTTGTGTTTTCTTTTTAGTAGGTTTTTATGCAGTGATGGAATCATCAAATCCTTTTATTTACTGAAGTGCTACAATAATACACAAGGAGCCTCTATGCATCAACCAAAACATGTTGTTTTTGATGACTTTCAGCTGAGTGAAACTACTGATTCCGTTCATATTTATCAAACCAGTCATGTCTATTCAATGTTGGTATTTAGAAAAAATGGGCAGAATGCAGGGGTTTTTCCTGGAGGTGAATGAACATTATCTGTGTATTCAATGAATGGTAAGCAAATACCAACATTTCTGTTTGTCCTGTATCTGTTCTTCCAGATACAGAACTCACACATCATGGAACTGTGTATATGGGTTTTTTGGTGGATGTTGTTCAACCCCGATTTTGGACTGTTTACCTTTTTCATTGAAAACACACAAGGGATGGTACCTACCAACAGACAGAGCTGCATTAATGTCATTTTTAAGTGTCATCCTATCTGCAAGGGAGGATCAGGAAGACTAACAAAGAATTTTTTGGTAGTAGAGGTGCAAAAATATGTATTTTTATTTTCAAGTAATATCTCAATACTTAAAGTAACCACACATATGGTTGATAAAATATCTAACAGAACTGCTGCCTTCACAGTTTTTCCATTCCTAATTCTGTTCCATTTTCCTTTTCTTAAAAATAATCTATGTAGGTTTTACTGAATATATGAATATATATGAATATATGATAAGGATGGGGCTTGCTGGGGCTCTTTTCCAGGTGAAGTCACATTACATCAGGTGCAATTTTTTTATCCACTAGGTCATTATTAATGTTCGTTAGGAAAGCATGTTTGTAAAGAGCAGTAGAAATTTCATTTACTCAAATATATGCTATAACAGTATGATTTTAAAAATTCATGGAGTTCTTCGAGTTCTTCAGGTAAACGCTTCAGTCAGTTAGGAATTTATTTAACCACATGCAAACTATTTTCTTATGTCTTTCAATACCCTTTATAGTTTTGATGAACTTTTCCTTGTGTTTGCTCAAATCTTAGTTATTAAGCTGCGATTTGTGTATACAAGAGCAAAATAAGCTAAATTATTTTAAAACGTCATTAAAAAAGATCACAAAGTTTGTTACCTAACAGAATGGCAGGAGGAGCTCTGTTCACAATTTCCTGTCATGTTTTCTTGCATAGACACTTCTCTGTGATAGGAATGGCTTGGAACAGCCAGCACTGCACAAAAGAAGTAAACAAATAAAATATAAATTGCCATTTTAATAGTTTCTATAGTATACCTCATTAGCAATTTGTGTTCCTGTCTAAAACTAAATAGCTAATAGTAAAATGAGAATTCAGTAATTTTTGACTAAAACTCTTTACTTCAAACACTAGGATATGCAGAAGTCAATTAACTGGCAAAGAACTTTTAAGGCATTATGGAAGATAAGTTGTATTAACATGTTACTTAAGGTTAAAAAAAATCATCAGGAATGAATTTGACTTTGGAAACAAGAAAAAATGGCATGAAAGCGCTTGTTTAATAAAACTAATGCTATGTTGGTCAGGTATTGCAGGAAACAGTTCTGTAAGAGAGATGCTTTATTCTAGGAGTCAGTGCAACCTCTTCTAACAATGGAAAGAAACAAACCTTCCAATGTAAGTTTGTACCTGTGACAAACATCACTGCTAAGTCACTAGTGTGACTGTACACAGGATAGTTGGATACAGAGAGACCTTAGCTGTAGAGATGCAAGTAAATTCTAGTGGTCTTTAGGTGCTGACAGCTCTTATCACAAGGTGAGAAATAAAGGAGTTTTGGGTTGATGATTTTGGTTTGCAGCTCTGACTTAAAACTGTAAAAACTTTCCATAATAGCTGCTCTCTTCTTATTACATTGTTCCCATCTACTGGAGCAAAAGTGTGCTCAGTTGGCAATAAACATCATCTCTGGTCTTCTAGGAGACAACCTGACATTATTTCTTGGTGTGCTGAATTCTGCAGTCACGCAGAGTTTGTGGGGCTGGTACCTGGCATTCATAATTCCCTTTTATCCCTTCCCTCCCTAGCTTAATGACTTGTAAGAGAGGCTCTAGTCAATGCTGGTTTTTTTATATAGCTTTGTTTAAAATCATTTAAAGCATGCTTCATTTTTCCATAGTTTTAGATTATCTTAATGCCATCCATGAATAAAACACCTCTGGTGCATGCTCATCTGTTAAAGTAATCATGTCAGAACCACCATGTGTTTAGTTTGAAGATACAGAGACAGACTTATGGTCCTTGAAATCACCTCTAGGTTGCCACAGTTCTCATAAAAAACAAAACCAGCACTAAAAACTCAACATAAAACAAATTTATCCACCTTCAGGCATAGACCAGTTTTGCAAAAGGGTTAGAATGGACTCTGCTCAGGTGATATTGAGCAATACTGTGACTATTAATAAAGCCTGTGACGGTGCTTGTGCAAGAACTGCCACAGACTGTGGGAGGGAAAAGGCTGCCAGTGCACATGGATCATTACCAGTGGCTGCTCACGGTGGAGCACAAGGAGAGGCTTTCCACTGAGGAACCTCCCCAGCATTTCCGTGCTTCTCCAGCGTTCGATAATATCACTTCCCCAGTCACACCTGCATCCAGACCACTGTGTTTAACAGCCACTGCAGGCCTGAACTTTGATCTTTGTGGCGTAAGGGTCTGACTTATCCATTGAATCTTTGATGTTAAAAATGCTTGCAGGAAAGGTAGGCATATATATGTACAGTAACAGGGTACAGGTGTGGCATTTGTCTCTTACAATGTGAAAAAAAGGTTGCTAATAATCAATCTTCTCATGCTGCTTGCATGCTCTGGACTGGACTCTATGATTTATCACATATTTAACAAACTGAAAATACATTTGACACATCATTATTTGGATGAGGGTGATGTATGTGTCTACTATACAAATACAGTCAAAAGAGATCCAAACAAAGCTCTTTGGATTTACCTCAACTACAGCAAGAGGGAGCTTGCAAGCCTAAAACACAGGCTGTAACACAACCAGAGTGGTAACAGCCACTGGCAGACCCTTATTTCATCGGTTTACTTAAATATTTTCCTTAAACTATTTGTGGCTTTATAACACCACCTTGCGCTAAGCTCCACGATATATTTGAATGCCGTTTAAAGCAATATTTGTCTCACCCTTTTAAGAGACCCTCACTGATCACGTTCATGTGGTCTTGGTGTATTTTCACATATTCTTGAGGTTGAATCCTATTGCTAATATTAATTTCCTTTTTCTGGGACACAGTTTGAGACTCAATGTACAAATTTGAGCTTCGAAGTGCTGTTCTTCCATGACATAATGGTGCTCCTGAGTTCAGAATTCAATATAATTAAGCCCCAAGGCTTAAACATTAGTTCCCGTGTTGACATCCCTACCTGCAGGCTCACCACACAGGCGGCATCCTTCCGTGTGTTGCCTTGTCTGTGAGTTTTCATGTCACTCGAGTGGACAGAATAACAAAAAATGACAGTTTTCTTATGAACTGTAAGGCTGAGCCAGGGTTCTGCCTGATCCCAGTGGAACGGCACAAACACGAGTTCATCCTGGAGGGCATTCAGCATCCTAAAGAAAGAGCAGAACCGGAGAGATGGCACCATCGCACCGAGGCCTTGAGGCTGCACTTACAAGTTTATGGGGCTGCGCCTCAGAGGGGGGACCCAACTTTTGGCGGGAATCGCCTCAGGGGTGCCTGAGGGGGCCCAGGCCGGGCGCCCTCCCCGCGCCGCCCGCCAGCCTCCGGTCAGACCCGCCCTTCCCGGTGCGGAGGCGAGATGGGGGTGTCGGTAAGAGACAGGGGGCTTTCGGTGCCTGCCATAAGCACACGGCAATCGCTCCGGGTCGATCGCTGCCCCGGGGGCCGCCGCGCAGCCGCTCCCCGGCCTTCCCCCCCTCCGCCGCAGCGCCCGCCCCCCCCGTCACCTGATCGCCGGGGCCGCGCCCGGCGCCGCTTTACGCCGCGCCCCGCCGCCCCCTCCTCTCCCGGTAGGGCCGCGGCCGGCGAGTGGTGGGGCCCGCCTCCGCCATGGTGCTGGAGTCGGTGGTGGCGGATCTGCTGAACCGCTTCCTGGGCGACTATGTGGAGAACCTGAACAAGTCTCAGCTCAAGCTGGGCATATGGGGGGGTAAGGAGCCCCTTCCTTCTCCCGCCTCGTCCCCACGGGGCCGCCGCTGTCACCGGGGGCGGGCGGGGAGTGGGTCTCGTTGGCTGTGGTCCCCCCGCCCGTAAGGGGTCGGCGGGCCGTGGGACCGCCGTCCCCCCTGAGGGGCCGTCGGTGTGTGGGATCGCGGCGCCCTGTGAGGAGAGGGCGAGCTGCGGGCCCGCGGCCCTCCCTGAGGGACGGCCGGCCGGTCTGTGGCCGCCGTGAGGGGCCTGCGCGCGCGGCCCCCCGTGAGGGGCGGTCACTCAGTCAGTCTGTCTGTGGCCGTCGACCCGACTCCCCCCCCGTGATGGTCGTTCTGTGTCCGTGGCCCCTTCTCCCTCCCTCTCTCCCCCCTCCCCGAGGGGCCGTCGGTCTGTCGGTCGGTCTGTGGGGCTGCGGCTCCCCGCGGTGGCCGCGCTCCCACCATGGCGGGGGCAGGCTCCGGCTGTGAGGCGGGGGGTCTGCCCGTGAGGGGAGCCGGGGCGATATGTCCCTCCAGTTACAGCTTGTGGGGGGAGAAATGCGAATTTAGGGGTTCCCCCCACAGGAGGGGGGGGCCTGGGCGCGGGTACTCGAGTTGCTTCCCCCCTGTGGCATTTACTCCGAGAGGCTGAGGCTAGGCGGAGGGGGGTGTGAGAGGGGCAGGTCTTCTTATTTTTTTATTTTGTTTTATTTTATTTTTCTATTTTATTTTTCTTCTCGAGGGGAATACTGGGTGGGAGGGAGCACGGGGTGGCTCAAGCATGGTGGCCCCAGGAGGAGGGAAGGCCTTGGTTGGGTGCTTGGGGAGCTATGTCTTCCACTTGCTAGTTTATTGCTGTAATTAATGTGTGTTAAAGAGATACCATAGTGCAATAACATGAAGTAGCTATTCTTAGTGAATATATCAGACGTTTCAGTTAGCTACCCTGTAGGCACACAGAAAACCAGTTGAGGTGCTGTCTGGAGAAGGCTGGCTATTTTAGAAGCCTTCCCATCCATAAGGAACAAGATTTTTTTTCATCCTCTTAGTTTTGTTCTTGCTATGATAGTAAGTATTTTATATTAATACCTGTATTAAAAGTGGGATATAGCTCTAAGGAGTCTGGCATTAAAGTACTAAGAGTTATATGTGCTTTCCTCAGGTATAATTCTGTGTGCTGGCTTTCCCTTTGGAAATCCTATTATGTTGCTGGTGTCAGGAAAAGTTAACATGTTTGTGAAAATAGGCATGCATTTTTGTGGTTCTATGATTGATGGTTTTTCTGTTATGTAAAAGAATGAAAGACCAGATACAATTTTTCTAGTCTACCCTACCTTGATAGAACTGTAATTATCATTCACAACAAAGTGAATAACAGGAAAGATTTCCTATTATTGTAGGTGTATTTAATAGGGTAGAAACATGCAGATGTTGAAGTTGATATTTCTATAATCTCTTTCACCATAAAATTTTGTCTGAATAATCAGTGCCTAATGACTCTTACAAATTAGACACTTATTGTACTTTTCTATAACTGGAGTAAGGTTTTCAGATTTTATCCGTGTATTCTTGGGAGGGTTGTTATTGTGTTCCTTGTTCCAACTTACATAATAGTTGAAATCACCTGTTCTCTTCTCTTCTCTTTTTCTTCTAAATAGGTAATGTGGCACTTGACAACTTGCAGATAAAGGAGAATGCATTAGTAAGTATTTTAATAATTTTAAAATTTTTAATGAGTGTAAAGACTAAGTCATTGGATAAAATATTACTGTAGTCTCATGTTACATGGTAGGCCTTCTTCACTGTTTTTTTGGAAGTAAGTCCTTGGTGAACTGCTTCTAATTTTCCTTATGTTACTGGAACAGAAAGAGGGGAAGCTATGGGTGAAAGGTAAGTGTGCTCCTTGAGAAGAGAAAAATAACTTCTGAGAAGTTAGCAGTAGGGTTTTGAAGTAAGTTTCCGGTGTTTTGTGCATATACAACCTGTCCTAGTGTTTGAGGCTTGAAATGATAAAACTTTAAATAAGATATTGGTGTGTTACCATTTTGGTCATTCAGTACAACTTAAAGGATTATTTTTCTGTTGTGACTGCTACTGTATAATCATACTTCTGTTAAGTCATAAGGTTTTTCCTCACTTGTATGTCCATGCAGTAGATGTTTATATGTTTCTGAGCGATTTAATGGATCTGAAGGGTTTGCGTAGGCCTGTGTATTTTATTTTTTTCAGCTTGGATTGAATAAATGCATTTTCAGGGCCTGACTTCTGCAAATTCATTGATCTCACTGAAGTCTTCTGAAAGACAGTGGTTCATTTCTCAGTTGTTGTTGTGGGGAGGAAGGCAGAAAAAGTTCATCCGTCTACATCAGTTGATGGGATTGAGGCTTATGTTTATGACCTTCTGTGTAAATTGGTGCTTTTTTCAAACTGGCACGAAGGCATTTTTAAGATGTGTACTCTCTGAACGTAAATATTCAAATGCTCCATTCTGTTCCTCTTAAAATAGGAGTGACAGAGTGAAGGAAAAACAAGAAATAACTTGCATTAAGTAGATATATTCTTGTCTGAAAAAGAAACTTGGCTGATTTTTGTGTTCTTTAATTGAGCTAATGAACACCTGTACTACTGAGAGAATCTTACTGCAATCTTTAGTGTGCTTCAGATTTCACTAAAGAGAACTGTTAACTCTTGTGTGAATTGAAAGCATGTTGGATCTTTGTATGACATAATAATTTCTTTCTCTTCTTAGTTCTGAAGTTACATATTTTACCTGCCCATTTCATCCATTCCTGATAATTTTGTTGTACTTTAAAACTCTTGTTACAAATATCTTTGTAATCTGGTAGTTACAAAAAGGAAGGAAGAATGTGTTATCTACGTGTCTTTCCTTCTCATGGTGATGGTAAGGTTGATTATGGTTCTAGCAGTTCTGACTTAGAAAAATGCATAGTCATGTATATTACTGACCAGAGCTGAAAGAGAGCTAAGACAAATTCAAGAACTGAAAACAAGGGATGTTTCTGACTGCTTTACAACTGCAGTATGTTAGATTTCTATGCAAAAGTAATTAAAGGAAGGTAAATTTGAACACCATTTTTAGAGAACTAGACTACACATTCTTGAAAAAAGAAGGCATTAAAAGGATGTGATATGATCCAACCTTTTCTTTTCTAGTTTGCCTGTCTGCTGTTGCCAGTATTGTTTTTGTTATCCTCATAAGGTTTTCCAGCAGAAAATATCTAGCTTTTAATTGCTGTACATGGATACAGTACTTCTCAAATGTAAGAAAAGAAAGCCCTTAGGAAAAGGGAGACAAGCAAATAGTTACTTTTAGTTTTAAGCTTCCCGAGTCTGTTTTTTCCTTAGTCATAGTAAAAGAATATTTCATTAAAATGAAGGAAGTTTGTCAGACCTCAGTCAGAATTTAGGCTTTAGCTTATGCAAAATCAACTTAAGAGGATTAGTGTAAGATTTCTAAAATTTTACAAATTATTTTACAAATTAATTTTTAGGCACCTTGAAAATGTAACCATTTTTTCCCCAAAATATGTTAGAGAGTGAGTTTGCTGACACAAAGTGCTGAAGTGTCATTTGTGAAATATGTACTTTGATCTTTTGAGGCTGTTGTTTCATTTTGTTTGACTTCAGCTGTAAAAATACAGAAGTATAATGGGGTAGCTGCAGTCAATGTTCCTTTTTTACTTTGTTAAAAAGCTTGGTAGTGATAGTAATGAAAACTTTCTGATGGGTTTCTTCAGCTTTATCCTGTTTTTCAATCATGATGAAAAATGGCTGATGACAAACTACGACTGAAGCTCTTTAGCAACCTGTCATATGATTTTCAGCTTATATTACTAGGGTTATTACTATCAAAAAGCCTGACCTCTCAGCTTCTTTACTTGTGAATTTGTATCCAGTTGGTCACAGCTCTTAATCTTCAAAGCTAATACTGCTGGTTCCTTGTTGTTTACAGCGTTGAAGTATTTTCAGTAAAAAAAAAGTTCAAACCCCAATGCTCTCGCAGTTTTTAATTTATATTAATCTGTTGCTTTTACTCAACAACTTTAAAACAGCTTTAATTTTTAGCCTTTTCTATGTGGCAAATTAATAAAAATTTAAAATTAAATTCTTGTATGTAGATAAAATGTTACTTTTTAGTAACCTTTGGAGCAAGACATTATCATACTTGTAGGATAGAATTGCTGGAACTTTGTAAATGCTTTCTTTTGAGGCTTTTTGCAAGCCTAACCATAATTGTAGATTTCAGAGTTCATGTAAGTATTGCTAAATAATTATATCTGTGTCATATGGAGAACTGTTTCTATTCTGGAACATCAGTTCTGGAAAAATAGTTTTAGCAGAAGTAAAGATAATAATTTCATTGTATAAACCAGCTTATCTTTAAAATACATGGATCTGTTTAATACCTAATATTTTTTTCTTTGCAGAGTGAACTGGATGTACCTTTTAGAATAAAAGTTGGTCAGATAGGTAAGTTTTTGTTTCAATGTAAGTATTGAAATGGAAATTTTAGTACAGGCCTTAAGATCAGTCCTGCCTCTGCATTTCTTTTATCAAGCTTTCTTAAGTGGTTTCTGTAATTTTACTCACTGTTGAAATTAGCATAGAAGTCTAATGTGACTGCCCTGGATAAATCGTGAAATGTAGTCTGGCAAATCCTGTTTGTGTAACTTTACAGGCTGGTATGAAAAACATGTCTTGAGAGGTTCTTTCTGGGTACGTGGAAAGAACAAGGGAGCTGTTTAGGCAGAATGCCTGTGGGTCTTTAAAGGACAGATTAGGAATATGGAGAATTCAAGGAAGATTCTTTAAACCGGCAAGGATGCCAAGGGTTTAGGAACTTTTAGATACCTGCTTTTTCACAAATTCCTTTCCCTGGTGGTCAGCATTGCTATTTCACATGAAACATTTGTTGGAATGTGTGTTGTATTTCTTCTGCTTCCCTGGGAAAATCATCTTCATCCCAGTGAATTGAACTGCAGTCATGATCTCAGGTTTTGATCTGAAATCTTCTGACTCAAACCGCATCTTGCTTAAATCTATGGCTTATATTTTCTCTGCATGTATTTTATCACTTCAAGGGCTTTATAAAATATTTAGGCCCATATGGTTTCTTCTTAGCTTCTAAGGTGTTTAGGACATCAAGACAGAGGGCTAATGCTCTTTGATGCCTGAGGTGTTGTTTGGACTAAGCACAACATATATTTTTTGTTTTGATGTAACTGTATCTGCTTTGTTTAGATAAACTTACTCTGAAGATTCCTTGGAAGAATCTCTATGGCGAGGCAGTTGTTGCAACTCTAGAAGGCTTGTATCTTCTCATAGTTCCTGGAGCAAGTACGTAAGCTCTTCAATAGCAGTTAAAAAATGGAAGAGCAATATATATAAGGGTACCAAGTAATTGAGTATATAAGAGCAAGTAGTTCATATAAGCTGTCATTTTTACATTCCACTGGCAAGTTAGTGGAAGAAGGGTGGGAGAAAATAGCACCTGTTGCTTTTATATAAGTCCTTAGTGGCATCCATTCCAAGTTCAGGTCAACAGCCAAGTTTTCTCTGAAGTATGCTTATCCTGAAGCCACTGTTCTGACATGGTTTAGATGTTTTAGCTGTTGCATGGTATAGTTCATCTGCTTCTAACTGACAACAATCAAACATAATAAGTCCATTAGAACTGTTTTAGGAAGAGGAAAGAGGATCAGAGAAGTTGATTAGTTTTCTCTGAAATCAAAACCTCCGGGATGTTAAGAAAACTTGCAAATTTAAGTGTGAAATGTATGTTGTAGTAGAACTTACAAACCTGCTTTTTTACTGAGCAGACCACACTTAGGAGTCTGGATTTCCACAGAAAGGTTCTCTTATGAAGTAATGCTTGAATGTTGATATGGTTCTTTAGTGTCTTACTGTGTAAAAATAACAATTTCATAGGCTGGGTGCAGCTTTCAGCAATAGAACTGAGAATAAACTTTAACAGGATGTTTTGCCACATAATGTTGGATAAGGGGTGCATTGCTTGATTATGCATTTATATAACTTGAAATTTAGGATTAAAGCTGTCCCAACTTGGCTTACAGGCATTAAATATGATGCAGAGAAGGAAGAAAAATACTTGCAGGATAATAAACAAAAGGAACTGGCAAGAATTGAAGAAGCCTTGCAGAAAGCGGCAGAAAAAGGTATCGTGTTAATAATACAAATCTCTGTTGGAATTTGAGGACTTAAACTGTGCTATGAGAGCAAAGTCCTGTTTTTGTGATCGACTTAATATTATTTGTTTTTTTCAAGTGTCTAGCTAATCTGATTACAGTGTTTTGGAAAGCCTTTTTCCTCTAAAGCTTGAAAGAAATGTTATTTGTTTTGTTTAGCATTCATTTGTCCAGTCAGCTTCCATTGTAAATGGGAATTTGATAATCTTGGTATGTCTCTCTCTCTTTTTTTTTTTCCTGTTTTTTTCCTCAGAGCTCTAGGGGGACAGGACCAAAGATAGAAACTGCATTGCATGAGGCTAACGTTGTTATCTTGCTTTAAAGCTTCAGTAATAGATGTTTAATAATGTGTTTTAGAGGTGCATGTGACTGGTTGGTTTTGTTTAAAGCAAACTTTGAGAGGGGTAAGGCTTGTAAATTTTTACTTCTGCAATAATGCTTTTGTTTCAGTTTCTGCTGTGCTTTTATGATGTACTGCATTTTGACTGGTTTGAGAAATGAAACTCTATTGAGCAGGAAATAATTCATGACACAAGAAAACAATTGAACATGAACATATGGAACTCTACTTAAACTTCTGATCTTGGTCATTAAAATTTTTCAAACTCTTAATTATAGGTTAAAATAATTGATCATTTCAGTGCAGTTAACTTGATTTGTGGTAGGTTTTTTGTGGTTTTTTGTTGGTTGTTGTTGTAACAAATATCTTCAACAAAATTATGGTATAAATTAGGCATGTTTGGACAGAAACCAAGCTCCGAACCAATGCCAGGTACCTACATGTGGTAGAGGAACGAGTTATTACTGAAGTTTTTGTGTCAAGTGAGACCTGTTTATGGGTGGTATAATGGTTCTTAAGGTGCATCTCTAGGATACCTGTTATCCTGCAAACCATTTGCCTTGGAAAAGTTATTGAAAATGAAATGGTGCTTAGAGAACTTGGAAAAATATAGTTTGATTGTAATCTGTCTGCTTATTAATTTTCTGGTTATACGACTCTCTTCTGCTTTGTTCCTGTTTTGCTAGTTTGAGATGCACATTCGTAGTTTCCTTCAAACAGCAGTCTAGCAATGGGTTTGCAGTGAAGAAAGAAGCCTTGGTTTATTTCTTGTCTTTAATGTGCCAGCAAATGTGTGAGACCTAAGACAGCTTCAGTGAATGAATTTTGCAGCCATTACTTCATACTGGGGCAAAGGAATGTTCATGAGGGTTTAACCTTGGTTTGTAGGACTTGGATACTGTAAAGCAGCAGTGTTTCAGCCTTTGTTCTTGGTACCAGTAGCAATGGGCTGAAGGGATAATATAATAAAAAGACTTTAACCTAATGGGCACTGCTCAAAAAATTCCAATTCTGGAACTTCTAATAATTAAGAGTGACTGTGCACCTGCAACAGTCATCTATTTTTTTTTTTGAATGAAACTTACTACATCCAGCATTTATAAAGCTTTTGAAGAAAAAAATTGTTAAAAAAAAATACCTCAGTAGTTCATCTCCTTATATAAAGAACTCAGATTTAGTTATGTTTTTAACTTTAAAGTTTTAAACTTTCAGTCTTGTGAAGAAAAGCTAGAGGAACGTTCAAATTTGATTATTTTAAATTGTTGTTATCCTCTTGGTCGTAGTACATCATGATCCATATGGATCCCTTCCAACTTGAGATATTCTATGACTATGGCCATGTCTCAGTGGTAGCTATTTGTGTTTCTGGTGTTGTACTAGAATATTGTACTCAGGAGGACTTGTGTAGTTCTTGTATGAGCAAATCCCTTAGAAGTATAAACTTCTAAGAAATTCAACTCTTCCTGTAGGCTTTTAAGAGCGCACAAAAGCTGGTGAAAATCTAGGGAATATATTGAATAGAAATTATCAGCTCCATGAATTCTCAGCTGTATTTGTTTTTCCGATTAGTACTCAACTAACCTTAATGTGTTTAGAATCTTGTTCAGTGCTTGCATGTATTTTGAGTCTCTTACTATAAAAAGTCCTGTGGGTATTTTCTTTAGACAAGCTATTCAAATATTGAGCAAAATGGTCATGTTACTGTGTGGTTAGTGTAGCGTGATGAGGAAGTGATAATAAGCTCTGCTGACAGAAGCTGACAAAAACGTTATTTTCTGTTTTCTAAGATATTAAAATCTACCAGTATCAATACTCATATATGGAGATCCAAGCTTGCAACGCTTGTGTTTTTCTGGTTGTAAGTAAAATGAAAATTGCGTAATTGACCTATGTAGATAATCTTTGAAACTAGGTACTCTGAAGTGACTCCGGCTGTCGGATACTGTAATGGAAATACTAATGTGTCATATGAGTTTTATAAACTTAACATTAAATCAGGAGCTGATTTCCTTCTTTTAAACAAAATGCGTTTTTTTGGTTATTTGCTGCCATGTGGACCAAGGCACTCATTCACAAGATTCCTTGTATGGGTTGGAGAGTCTGATTTACAAGGACACTAAGCCTGGTGGGTATGCATGACTCCACTATGTACATGCATGTACAGCTGTATGCAGCTTACATTTTTAAGAACATTCCCCACCCTCTCAATCTCCTCCCAGACCTCTCCCCAAAGGAGCCAAATATAGAAAAGAGAAAACAGTTCTTGTTTGGTGAGCATCCATGTATTAGTGGTTCTCGAAATAAGATTTTAATGACTGTGGATTCAAGTGGAAACTTGCAATGACTAGTCCTGTCTTAATTGAGTGGCTGTTTGAGAAGACTAAGAACTTTAGAAAGATTTCCATCAGCCGTGTTGAGCTCAAGAATGTTCTAAAATACTGACAACGTTCTGCTGTAGTTTTAAGACAATATTTTTCAATGTTTTGAGACGAGAGGGTAATTGCACTTAAGATACTGGGAGTTCAGGTGGTCTTGAAACCATAGACAGGCAAAATAAATCATAACAGATTGAAGGCATTTAGCATGCTTTTCCCTGGTTCTGTTTATTTGGATTGCTCTCAAGTTAGTCAAGGAAACAGTTTCCATTGAAATTCAGAGGAACCGTTATTATGTTGTACCTGCTGCATTTTTATCTTCTTGAACCAGATTTTCAGAAACTTAGCCAAAATTTTTTAGTGGGGATTTATCTTAGCACAGGTTTAGAATGAGCTGAAAATCATACATGTATTTTCTACATGGTAATGGGTGCAGGTAATCAAGAGGAAAATGGCATTGCCTTAGTTTTGTCATACATAGGTTTGAAAGCCTGAGAGCTGCAAATTCAATAGTATGTGAAGGAAGCTGTCTTTAAAATACTATTTATAGAGTATATTATTTGTACTATTAAAAAGAACTACCCAAAATAAAACGTTGTTTCTCTTTGGCATAGTTTTTTCTCCTTGTTATTTGTAGGGTGATAACCTTACCTGCAAGACAGGTTGAAGTCTTGGCAGGCAGTTTCTCCTCTTCTGTTTGAACAGGCAGGAACATTACATAAAAATAAAGTTGTCCCCCGGAGTTAAATGCATTGTTGCACTTGGTTCCTTGCTTTATTGGGATACACCCTTCTCACACTGCAATCTCTTAAAGTTCAGCACAAGCAGCATTCTTGCTAGGTTCTTTTCCCTTATGTGGCCAGAGAGGTGAAAGAAACAATGCAACTCACCAAACTGGTTTTCTTTGGAAACACGGAAAAAAAGGAGCATTAATTTAATTAATGAAACGGTTGTGATTGTGTGGGACATAGTTTGTGTGTAAATAATAGAATTTAATGTCATTTAAAGCTTTTAAAGAGTCATAATTTTTGTATGCCACCTTAGCAGTTAGCAGTATCGTTCTTTGAGATTGCTTTCATGCCATGCTGTTGATTAGTATGAGAATCATATTGAAAAGTGCTCTTTGGGTTTCCACCTATATCTTAAATACCTTAACTTGGGAGATATGCCCTTTTATGGTAGAAGCCTCTTCAGGATTTAACCTTCTATGGCTTTTTTTCCCCTCCCATATATATATTAACTGTTCAGTTACAATGATTTTTATTTGATGTCTGAGGTCATAAAATAAAAAAACCAAACACTTGGATTACAGAAAAACTTATTCACTGGGGTTTTTAATAAGCAGCCATGGCTCTGTTTTTAGCTCTCTTTTGTACATAAGTGATCTGTAATTATGTTGTAGAATGCATTCATGAGGAAGTCTGGGTATGTGTTTGCAGAGAAGCCTGGTGATTATTTGTTGTTCCTCAAAATCTTGAGACATTACATAAGGAATATATGAAAGTTGAATTAAATGCCTTGATGTTATAATTGGCAGGACAGTTGATCCAGTAGAAATTGGGATACTTTATCTAAAGTTTTTACTGGCTGCTTATTTTATTTGGGTTTTGAACTTCTATGACTTCTTTATTTTTTGAAAAAAAAAAAAAAAAGAGGGGGTGCAAAAAAGCAACACTTCAGTTCCTTTCATGAAAGTGAATTTAGGTATGCATAAATTATGAAAAATAAGTCTCTGTGCTATGAAAAGTAGCTGATTGCTTCCTTGACAGATCTGAAATTCTTTAAAAGCTTTTAATGAGACCTTACTAAGGCATTCTGGTTTAAGACAAATTAAACTTTCTTCCATCTTTTATTATGCTTTCTTACATTTCTACTTTACTAACTTGAATTTTATCCTTTTCCCAAAAAATTGCTTGCACTGAAAAAGGACGTAAGCGTAAAAAGTATAAAAAGCATTTTAAGAGACCTTTTAAAGGTCATGGTCACTCAAAAGGTGGGTAAAAGTTATGGCTTTTAACTTTTTTTGAAGACTTTTTTTTTTCTTTTCTGTTTGGATTAGTTTTTCATGGTCTTGGCTGTGCATCCACTCATACCTCTTTTTTTTATTTCCTGTTTGAGAGGATGTAAATTGGAGAGAGCTCTCTTTTGCTGTTTATCCATTCTCTGTGTCCAGTAAGGCTAAAGAGAGTCCTTGTTTCTCTATTTGTACATCTGTGTCTGTTTCTTCATCTTGAGCTGTATGTAGCATTTCCAATAAAAATGTACACGTTTTGTAGGCTGATTTGTGGCACTTCACTGTGACTGTTGGAAAAACTGCATGAGGAAGGCAAATCTGTTTGTCTTATTTTTGTCACATTCCAGTAACAGCTATGTAAAGTCAATCTGATACTATATTGATGATACAGTAGTAAGCAGTCTTTCAGCACCCTTAGCTTCTGTTCTATATAGATGGCATCGTGTTATGACTGCTATTTTGACAGCTATGAGTTTAAAGTTTTTCCTCAAGAGGATATTCATTGCCTATAAGTGCTAAACTATGTAGGTATCCCCTATTAGCACGTGACTAAGGATGGGTTGCCATATCCCATGTAGTTGTATTGTTATGTGTTTGGTCTTGAGGAAGCTGCAGCATAGGCTTGTAATTGGTGTAAAACTTTGTGGGGACCCCAGATAAGCTTTGTAAGGTATCAGACTTTTATTGCTGCTGGTAGCTGCATCTGCCTGGAAAAGTGTTAATGGGTTGCCACTTGCATTTGAAGGTCATGGAGCTTCGATAAGCACTTCTGCCCTCTTTTTTTTCTTTATCAGTATTGTGTCGGTTTCTGTTAATAGGGAGTGGGAGTTGTGAAGAAATGATTAGTAGGAGGGAATGTCAGTTGCATGTAAAAGTATAATGTATAATGTTTTGGTTTCTTCTGAGTTCCTGACTAATTTGTTTACTTGAAATCAAATTCTCTCTTGACTAAAGTAGTGTCATATCATGTTCAATAGAAAAGTCATTTTATTTTTAAAGAAATTTTTTGAATGTCTTAGAGTTTTAAAAAAATTATCCTCTTTTTTATAGTGAGATGTACAAAGTTATCTATCTGTGATGTTCAGGAAGCACTGCATATTTAAAAAGCTGCAGTTAAAGTAAGCCAAGAAGTCAAAATCAGAGTGCAACCCTAAGCTTAGTCAAAACCTGTGGCTTTATTTCTCTCTTTTTGTGTAGCTGTTACTGTTTCTTCAACTTGAGGCATCTGTAACATTTCCAACAAAAATGTATCAGATTGGTAGGCTGAATAGTGGCACTTCACCGGGACAACCACTTTGTAAGGTGGATACTGAACAAGACCAGGTGCCCTGTAAAGGTAGCTAGCGAACAAGCAGTTCATCAAGCCATATTTTAGGTAAAATGTTAAAACACTCAGCCTGAGATAGTGTTTTTAGAGTTATGTCATTAAATAATGAGGGATTGTAAATATCCCTCCTTTGCCCCAGCCTGGGCATGTGTCCATCTGTCTTGGGTCTAATGCTGAACTTCTGTGGGTATGCACCCTCTGCTACCCTATGTTGTTCAGCATAAGTTCAAGTATCACTATGTGGCATAGAAAAGACTGATGCAAATCTAGCTTAAATGGTCACGGTAGAAGTCCAGTATGGAAGAAATGGAATATTTCAGAGTAACTGCTTGCTTTCGCTTATGGTGTGCCAGCTTTTTAGTTCTCTCGGGCAGTCTTGCATGAACAGCTCTAATGAGTCTCTTGTTGTGCAAGTATCATCTTCACCTGGTTATTCAAGGGTATTTTCTGCTAAATTACACCATCTTACCTATTTCCTTGTTGAAGCCCCTAGTAACTTGCTGAGGGACTCTCAGAAGAGAACATTTTGCCTTGGAAAGAGTGGGGATAAGTATATTAAACAAGAACTTGCAGTAAGCTAAACTCTTTTGACTGAAACTTAGACATAAATTTTCTTATGGTTGGGTTGTGTGCACACAGCTAACATCACATCTTCAGAATATGGATGTACAGAAAAGAAAAAAAATGTGAATATGTAATCTAAATAAGTGAAAATGTAGATGTTAATTATTCATGCTAGAGTAAACATTAAATTTACATTAGTATAGCTGTAGTTAACTTCAAGATGTTATTACACTCAATGCTGACTTAAAAAATTATCTTTTTTAGACAAACCGAAAGAGGAGAAGAAAGATACTTTCTTAGAAAAGCTTGCAACTCAAGTTATAAAAAATGTGCAAGTTAAAATCACAGGCATTCATGTTAAGTACGAAGATGATGTAAGTATCTGGAAAATGTTATCTCCATTTTAAATTGGACTCCAGTTCAGTTGTGATTGTCTAGTCCATAGATAGAAATTGTTATGTGCCACCTTGAAAAAGTTGCTGTGGTTTCTTCTGTACCTCTTCAAATAGAGTACCCAAGGTATGACTGAAAGCCAGAAATACCTCGGATATGTCTTGTCCAAGTCCTTGTTCACTAAATGTGGATGGTGGCTGTTTGTCACGTGTTAGTGTGTGCAGTTGATGTACAGAATTTTTCAGTGTCTTGGATAAAGTCCAGAATGGCAGAAATTGGTGGGGTTACAAATGAGTTGGAAGATAAAGAGTTGTAAACAATTTATGAATGAAAATGTTTACATGAACTAAACTGTTGATATTCTATCCTGTTTCCGTCTTCCTTTAGGAAGATGATAAAGCAGCTAGTGATGAGATAATTGAATGTGGAAAGAAAAGCATTTGATACAGAATATTTCCCAAACTTATTTTGGGACTACTTTCAGAGACACTAAATTCAAAAAGGTGGGAGGAATGGCAGTCATAAAATGATATAGCTGACTGAGGTGTGGTACTCTGTAGTTCTTAGCGCTTTCCTGTATGAAAATTTTAGAAGCCTAAAGGAAATTTTCAGCTTGAATTGGAGTCCTGGGTCTTCACACTACAGCCAAATTAGATTTGGCACAATTTAGGGGGTTCCAAGAATGTTTCAGCTAGAATAATTAATCAGAGGAAGATTCTCAAAACAGCTCAGGATTGCAATCAACTTGAAATGATACATCTCTGTTTGCAGCGAGAGAAATAAATAGCTGTTATTTTTCTATTTTTGTAGATCACAGATCCACAGTGTCCGGTTTCCTTGGGAATGACGCTGAGCGAGCTTAGCTTACAGGTAATGTGTGTGTGCATGCATATTCTTATGTTTTCTATTTACTTGTCTTTGGAGTAGCAGTAAGGAAAAGGAACGTATTAGGATGATACAATGAAAGTGTGCATACAGCTGGAAGCAAAGATAATCTTTCATTCATGCAAATAGTACTTGAAGTTTGTGCAAGCAGAAGAGAAGACAATTGAGGAACGTCACACTTTGAGACTAGTGATTTGTTCTTTGATCTGAGTGATCTTTAAAATTGAGTATCTTTACTGTCATAGGGCAGGTTATTTCCAGGCCAAATAAATAACTACAGGCAAACATTACATCATGGCAATAAAGAATGTGCTATTTTACTGGACCTTCTGAGAAACTGAGGAAGAAAATTTCAGCTAACCCCTGTTTTCCTTAGATATTAAGGATTTATGGGTAGGATAAGGAGTTGAAAAGCAAAATAAACTGTCAAATTCCAGATTGGATTTTGTCTTGTGTGTATGCAGTCTAGGGAAACTGACTTCTGTAATCGGTAGCACCAAAATGATGCATTGTGTGCTTGAAGTATAGGATAAAACTCCAAATGTGTGAAGTAAGATGCGCTTTTATCACTTTGAATTTCTAGACAACAAACGAGAACTGGACACCTTCTATTCTGAATGAATCTGCAAAAATAATATACAAGGTAATGTGTTGTGGGTTTTTTTCTACACAAGTGAAGAGAATAATTAATCTTGGAGAGAAATAATCTGGGATTCGAAAAATAATTTTTGAAAAATAGTTTGCTTTGCAAATTCTGCTGTTTTTCTTAATGTTGCTGTGTGTTTAAACCAAAGCAGAGCACAAATAACTGGCTTTAGGTAAGGCATAACTTTCAACTCTGTGATTTAAATAATTTCCCTTAAATGCAAACACTGATTCCCTCATTAAATACATTATACAGCAAGTCTGCACAGTAACTATGTTTTCAAATAGGTTGTCAAATTGCCATTTCCTACTGTAGTTTGTGTGCCTAACGTAATTGAGATTCTGGTAGCTAAGCAGTTTTTCTGTTCTTACTCCCCCATGCTGAAAGGAGTGTGCAAGGATCTAAGAAATTACTGGAACAATAGAAGAAGTGTTTAATAGTCCTGGCTTCTGTATTAGGCCAAATGTTGGTTTTGTGCACCCTCGTCCCAGAATCCAGAGTCATATTTAACAGATGTGCATGAACTTCTGTGCTTTAGGATCTTGCTTTTTAGCAATTCAGTTTTCACTTCAAAGATAGTATTAGAAGATTAAATAAATCTCAATGCTAGTGGTGGATTTGCTGTCTAGTCTGCTTTCATTTGTTTTCTGGTTTCACAAATGGAAAGCTAAGTTCATAGAATGGATTGAATACTGAGTATTGAATCTGTTGAATGTTTTCTTTCCTGTGCAGCTTTTGTGCCTGGACAGCCTCAGTGCTTATTGGAACATACACAGCAAAATGTATTACCATGGCTCCCGGGAACAAATACTGGTAACGTACAAGAAAACACACTAAACAGCACTACTTTCTATAGATGTTATAGTATTCAAAAGTACACCATACTAATTTCCACCCCACTACTCACACTTATGGTCAACTGTATTCTGATACCAGGGTCATATATTAATCCATTGCATGATTGATAACTATTCTTTTTGGTGAACTTTACATGTTATCAACCCATACAGGTTTTAGGAAAGATCAGAAAATGCATCTGTAAAATAATGTTCTATGGGCATATTCATCTTGACTTGATGCTTTTTACCCCATACTGTTTACTAAATATCTGGGCTGTATGAGCTATTATATACCTACTGTAATGAAAAAGGTGATATTGAGATAGTAAATGAGCATAGAATTAATAAAAATTCAGAATATTAGATCTTTATCAGGAAAGGAACTTATATCTTGCTATCCAGATAACATAAACTGCACGACTGGAATTAGCCAATAGAGTGAAGCCAGATAGAAGAACAAGATGTTAAAAGAAAAAGGGATTTTTGCTTTTACTAAACCAAAGCTTAGGTAGGTAGGTATCCGTTGTCAGACCTAAACAAAGAAACAGAAGTTGCAGAGGTGCTAATATAGTAGTTCTTTAAGGTAGCAGCCCTTATTATCAGAAGAAGCTTTGCCAAAATCTTGAAGAGCTTTAGTAGGATAAGTTACATAGATGGGTGAATGCGTGTGCTGTGTTTGAAAGACAGAAGAGAGGGTGGCAGCTTTAAATGCGGAGCGCACTGTAGGACTGAATAATGAAGACTTTTAAAAATGAGGTTGAGTGGAAAATAATTAAGGTAGACTGTATGGAAAAGATGATGCTGGAAATGCTTTATTCAACTTGATGAAGCTAATTCAGGTGAAGAGAAATAGATGAAGATGCTCCAGTGCAGAAGATGAGGCAGGGTGAGGGAATGAGGGTAAATCAAGACAGACCTAGAAGCAGATATCTTAAAATGGTAATTACAGGGCAAGAATAGAATCAGTCTTTTGTGTGTGGGCTTCCTTGAAGCTATGTCTATTTTTTCCTGACGGTTTCATGTTTTGAGTTGCTGTTAGCTGGATGAGTAGTGGATTAAGAGTGTGAAGTAATTGTTTTGCTTTTATTTCATTGCTGTGTTATCCTCTAACTCTTACTTCCCAGAAGAAAAGCTTGGAACTTTGGCAGTATGAGTAGGGCAGTTACATAGACATAAATTGTGGCTGAGGGCACACATCTTCTCTCTGTATGACAGCTGAGGAAATCTGAGTTGCAAAAGCACCATTACTGTTAAGTTCATTTCAGATGGCCACTTCATTTGTGTGGTTAAAGGAGCTCATTTTTCGGTTATGAGAAATAGCTGGTTATTCTAGTGACCTTTTGGATAGTACATTACTGAATATCAACTTTAAAATGGGTTATGAAAACAAATCATTTTGCTTGGAATAGTGGACATCTGATTACTGTTAGTTTGAATCTCATTTCATTTTACTGTGGAGACGATCAGATGTGTCTGTATATCTGCATTATATTTCTGGTGTGAATATGTGTTCTCTGCAAAAATGGTATATTTTTGACCCATTGTGTTTATAAAGGTGATACAGGTGTTCCCTGTGTCCTTGTGTAGTACTACTTGTTGGCTTTATTTTCTTTTGTGCTCATTTTTCACAGGTATCTATATTTTTGTTTTAGTCTCTCCTTAAAATGTGCCCTTAACCTAGTGAGCTTGTATGGAAGGTTGAATCAAAACTGAAGTGCTTAAAACCAGCCAGTTGTTTAATGTTCTTTGAATCTTGTCTGTTATCTGAAATTTGAAACCCAAGTCCTTTTATTGATATTCTGATTCCCCTTGCACAAGGTACTGTTTATTGTCTCAAAATTGGGGCGTAAATTCACTGTATGTAGAAGATAATTATGAATGTCTTGATTTCCTGTCTACAGGCTCTTGCTTTGTTCCAACCTCTGTGGCCCGTCCTGCAAGTGAATGTTTCTTTGGGTGCTGAGGCAGAGCAATTATAGCGTAGCAAATAGTATCTAGTATTCTGACCACCCATTAGCTGGAAGTATCTCGCCACTTGGAGTTTTTCCAGTTTTTGAAATCCTTAGCAATTTTGCCACTGTATTCTAGTATCACTTTGCATACTGGCATCGTTTCCATTATTTGGATTTTTTGTATCTTCTGACAGTTCGGTAACTTCTGTTAGTTTAAATTTGTAAATTATGATTAGTCATCATTGAATCCTTGTGCCTAAAAGGGGAAGAGAGGGAGAGCAGGAATAAGATCAGAACACATCTGAGTACACTGGAAGAAGCACAGAGGAAGAATGGAAATCATTATGGGCATAAAATAACTTGTGTAAATCTTCTTTCCCACTTGTTAAGTCCTCTCTTCTTTAGAATTTTAAAACCAATACAGGAATGGAACAAATAGCAAATAACATGTCCTGTTTAGTAACATGATCTGTATCAAATACCTGAATACATTTTATATGTAATTTTTAGTGTAGCCTGTTTCCTGGAAAGCTTGGCCTTCCATCCAGACAGGCTGTTTTGGTCTTAATTTTAAGCAGCATTATCAGGAAATCAGATTTATTGTAGTAGCTAATTGGTCTATGTTGTAGTAAAAATAAGCTGTGTAATCTGTAGCAAGCTGTTACTTTTGCACCACAGTCTTCATATTTAAATAACATGAGTATGTGGCTGGTTGTGAGATTAGCTGTTTTATACTTAATCTCATTGAAATTTAGCTTTTATTAACATAGACCAGCAAACAGGAAATACATTGAAATATAAATATTTTAAATGAGCAAGTGTACCTTTTATAAAATACAATCCAGTTTTTAAATAAGGAACTGGGAAGAGGTTTAGGTTGAAGAAATTTGTAGTTACAAAATTTATTCTTTGTAAAAAGAACTCTTGATATTGATAGTCTTTATAAAATATAATGAGGACAAGCACTTAATCTGCCTTGGTGTAATAGCTAATATCTACATCTTCCTAAAGCAGCCCCCCTTCTTTAACCAATTATGCCATTGCAATTCTGAAGCTAGGTAAAATGTTTGGGCTCAAATATAGCATTCTCAATAAATTGCTGAAGAATTATAGCATCAGATGGACCTCTAGCATGGTGTTTCTCAGCTATATGGTATTTCACGAGAATTTAAGTTGCTGTACCCAAAGTTTAGAGAACCATAAACAAGTAATGCTCTTCAGGAATTGCTAATTAGTGTCATATTCCTTTACAGGATCAGCTGAAAAGAGGAATTCCACGTAGCGGTTACGAGCCTCAAGACCACGATTATAGTAAGTAAGCTAGGAATGAGTGAATATAAGCTGTTCTGAGCAGGTTAGTATGCAACAGCCTGACCTGATCATGCAAATATGCCCACACTAACTTTATTTTACAAAAACTTAGGCATAATAGAACATACTAGAGCTTTTATGCTTTTTGATTATTACTGGGCTATCTTAATTTTTGATGAGAATTGCATCCTGATTCTGTGGGTCTTGAGTGTACTAATTACCCAGTATAAAGTGGTTGATATATCAGGCAGTGGAAATAAGTACTTGAAGACTGCTTCCCATACTTTAATTGTAAATGTAAAATTGATCTGGATTTTTTTATCTATAAGTTTTTAGACCAGTGTCAGCCTCTGCAAGACTGTATATCAACCCATATGCAGAAGTAGAACTAAAAACTCCCAAGATTGATTGTAACGTAGAAGTACAGAGAATTGTCATTGAATTCACTAAGCCCCAGGTAAGTTGGCTTGATGTCCATTGTCACCTATTTTGGTGTTTGTGATGAACTGTAGGATTCTTTTTGTTGGAAAGCATTCTTCTTTGGGAATCTTCTGCTTACATGCAAATAGACTGTCTGAACTGTTTAGCAGTAGCTGTAGGTAAAGCGCAGGATCGTTTTCCCTTTTCGTGAGTCACTTCCTGGTGCTGGGTCCTGATGCTCTGACCCTGTTATCTGTGAGCCCTCTGGGGACCATCTGATCTGTATTCAGCCCTTCCAATAGCATTCCTTTCACACAGAGAATGGAGTCATTCTTATGAGTAGCCCTTATCTTGTAAAACTATAAGCCAGCATTATAACTGCAGAGATGCCAAGATACAAGCAAAGGAATGAATGGGGTACAGTGGCTTCGGCAACAAAGCCTACTGAGGCATCAAGGAACTCTTTTAGATAGCTCCCCAGCAATGCTAGTGGTTACTTTCATTTATTCAGGGATCATTTACAGTTAGTTTGATAGACAGCTTTTTAGCTTTTGTTGATGTCAGAGCGTAATCTGAGTTGGGAACAGTACCAATAAGGTTAACTAATGCAAAGGCAATTCTAAAACGGGGAAGCTGTGTATTGACAAATGAAGAGAATACTGTTGGTTTGTGAAAGCTTGAGCTTTTGTGCTGGGCAGGGTAAGAGGAATGTAAATTGTTTTTGCTTTTCAAGGGAACTAGAAGTTAATACAGTGGTGTGCTTTGAGAGCAATGGGTATAGTTGGTCCATACAGATGAAATGCATAGGCTTCAATTTCTGTATAGTTTGGGGAATACTGAAGACCATGGTATGCATGTACTTTAAGCGCTGCTTGCAATAAAATCTGATCCTCTGCTAAGAAACATGTTTTTCTGTGTTTAGTACCTCAGCATGATAGACCTTCTGGAGTCCATAGATTACATGGTTCGCAATGCACCATACAGGAAATTTAGGCCAGAGGTATCTCTCCATAAACATGCCAAACAATGGTAAGCTGTGTACGTTTGTGCATTCTTTGGGAGATGCTGGAGTCCTTTCCAGTCTCTTTGTTCTCCTTTGTGGTTAGATGGAGTTTTAAAGCTAGATTGCATGTATCATTGTGAGTTCCACAGAGCTATGCTTAGCCAAGTAGAAAAGGCTTGCAGAAGAGAACACGTGAAAGAATCTAGTGATGAAAAATCTGACTTGCAGAGCTAACTCTGGTCCCCAAAATCTGTGAACAGGATGCTGATGTTCCTTCTAGGAGTTACAATGTAATTTTAGAAAGACTAAAGAAAAAGAATTAACAAATGTATTTACAAGGGAAACATGTATGTCAACTGTAATTTTTTAAAAGTTTTGAGCTGATAAACATTTTTTTCCAAGTACTAACTGATGCTAATTATCAAAGTATTTTACTTAAGTGTACATAATGCTGTTATAGCAAATTTGCTGTTACCAAATTTGCAAACATGCAGAATTCAATAGAGAATCCAGATTTATAGTTCTTTAGGCATTAAATATAAGCCCTCAGTCCATTTTTGAATAGTGATGTTGAAACCATTAAAAATTTTATAAAAACGTTACTCAAATGACAGGTGATAAACAAAGTGTTTGCAGATTAATAAGCTGCTTCTGCAACTTTTAAATTGTAATGCACAAATGAAATGGGAAGTTGCTCAGAAGTGTGGAATTGTTGTAGGTGGAAATACGCAGGTAACAGTGTTCTAGAAGTTCACGTCAAGAGATATACGCGAATGTGGTCATGGAGTAGCATAAAACAACATAGGCAGCTTCTGAAGAGTTACAAAAATGTGTACAAGAACAAGCTGACACAGAGTAAACTGTCAGAAGAAACACAGAGGCAAATTCAGGTATGTGTTATTTCTCTTTGGAGAAAGTACGTTTTGGTTCCTTTATTAAATCTGTGAATATACATGACCGTCATCAAGGCTGGTGATTTTTACAAGAGTTGCAAGAGTTCTGTGGAAATACCACTTTAATCTAAAGTTCAGTGTAACCTGTTGTGGAAAGAAAGAAAATACTAATAGATTGCCATTTAAATAACCCTTCTTGGTTGCAGATTAATGAACCTGGATGAATTTAATGAAGTGCAAGATAAATCCTAAAAGCATAATAATAATTTAGACTGCTTAAAATCAGCTTTCATCTTCTAGTGAAAATCCTTTGGGGGGGAGGGTGTGTGTATACCCCTGAAAGAAAGGAGCAGGTCTAGAAAGAAATTGGAGTGTAAATACAAAGGAGTTGGTAGAGACTTTTTTAGTAGTGAGCCTTTCCTAAATGTGTTTCAGAGGCAAATGATTTCATCATACATTTTTACAGGACCTAGAAAGAAAGCTTGATGTTTTCAATATAGTCTTAGCAAGACAACAAGCACAAGTTGAGGTAAGAAATGGTTTGGTTTTTTTTTTTATTAATATTGTAATGCTTCAAATAGGATGGCTTTGTCATGATATTATCTTGAAAAAAATTGTGCTGAGGAGTATGATTGGATAGGGAGGTAGGAAGGCAACTTTTCTATCCTTCCAGGACAAGAATAAGTAAATCAATTTCTGAACCAGTCCCAAACCCCTACCAGTGTGTGTGCACAGTGTTACTGCTGCCCATGCTTTACCATTCAGGCAATTATCTAATGGTGATGAGTTAACAATTCTTTTTCCTTTGACTTATGTTTTTTCAAGACTGGTTCTGCAGCTGTTCAAGATCAAACATGTACAGCTGTTTCCATCCTACCTACACCTTTACATACTCTCTTTTTAGGGCGACAGCCAATCTAATTAAAAGACAACTGGGAGAATTGTTAAAAGGTAGATTAATTCTCTAGCTGCATTTTATTTTGGAAATCATTTGTGACACTTAAGAAGGAATTAAATTTTATAACACTTTGGATATGCAATTAAGAACAAAACCTTTTTTAAGAAAAAATTGCTACGGGTAGCTATTTCCCTAACATGAAAATTAACCTCTGTAGTTGCATCATATAATTACTTTTCATACTAATGTAGTCTCTGTCTACACATACAGAATGTATGTAAAATGAAGATGAAAAAAATATTTCTTGGTTTTGAGATGTTTTTGGTCAGACCTTGATTTTTAAAATGCATAGTGAAAGCCTGAATACAAAATAAGTTTTGAATACTTGTCATGGTACAGGATCAGTCTTCAGGTTTGTTACTTCTAGATTTAAGGAACGTAATTGCTGCTTGTATCATCTTAAATGCTGTCTTTTCACGTGGTTCCTGTCTTTTCGTACTCTAGATGCTAGTGAAATACGTAGAAAAAGGCTGCCCAAAGTAAAAGTAACATATGCTTGTTTCCACACACATCTGTGTGTGTGTGCACACGCGGCCCCCTCATCCCTGATCCTCTGTTTGCATCTGTCTGGTGGGTCCAAGTGCTCTTAATCCCTTGCGGGGTGGTGTTGCTGTCCATCAGTTAAGTGTCTGTTCAACATGCATACATACGTGTATTATTTAAAGAAAAACAAAATATATAGTAACTCTAATTATGTATTTTAATGTCTGCTTTGTAGACAATAAGATCTGGACAAAAACTACTGAAGAAGAAAACTGCTGAAGCAGAAAAAAAAAGTGGGGGATGGTTTAGTGGTTTCTGGGGTAAAAGAGAATCTAGGAAGAAAGAAGATGAAGAATCACCAGTTCCTGAAAGTAGGTGTAAACTTTAATGCACTAACTTCTGCAGAGTCTTTAAGTTTTTATATACATTAAGAAGAAAGTTATAGTATATTTTGCTTTATTATACTGAAAGAGAGAGTGTATCATGAACAGTGCAATGCAGCATTGATTGATTTTATAGTATTACTTACTGTTGATGAATACTGAGCTGGCAAATAAGGCATACTTCTGAAATGGCCGTAGGCATTTTGGCACCTTGATAAGAGTACAGAGCTTATAGCTGTTGTGTAATAGGTGAGGATTGGAATACTGTATTCTGGTGATTTGCTGTGTGGGACAGAATTTTCTTATAATAGTACTTCTCAGAGCTGTTAGCATCATTGGGAATTATGAGTACTCTTGTAATATAAATTGTATTGATTTCTGTGCTATGTATGTGACACCACATTCGAGGACTGCTTCTACAATATGGAACTTAGTGCAATATGAAGAGTCAAAGAAATGTGTCAACAGAACTTAAGTACAGTAGAAAACAAATGGGAGGAAAAATGCTTATTGTTACTAATTGAAGTGCAAATTTCTGTGGTTTTTGGTTTTTAGCTATTGATGAAATAATGACACCAGAAGAGAAAGCTAAGCTTTTTACTGCTATTGGGTATAGTGACAGCTCCCATTGCCTTTCCTTACCAAAGCAGGTAAGCAACATCTTATGGGGATGGTTTAAAAAGCAAACAGACAAAAAATCTTTTCCATGTTGTAGATTCATAGAATTCTTAGAGCTGGAAGGGATCTTCAAGATCATCTAGTTCCAACCCTCCTGCCATGGGCAGGGGCACTTCTCATTAGAGCAGGTCACTCAAAGCCCCATCCAACCTTGAACACCTCCAGGGATGAGGCATCCACAACTTCTCTGGGCAACCTGTTCCAGTGCCTCACCACCCTCAGAGTAAAGAATTTCGTTCTGATACCTAATCTAAATTTCCCCTCTTTCAGTTTAAAGCCATTACCCCTCGTCCTATTGCTACACTCACTCATAAAGAGTCCCTCCCAGCTTTCCTTTTGGCCCCCTTTAAGTACTGAAAGACTGCTATAAGATCTCCCCAGAACCTTCTCTTCTCCAGGCATGTTAGCCTTAAGATATGAGGTATAATCTGTGTCAGTGCAAGTCAAATCCATGTTGAATGTACAAAGAAGATTTTAAAAAAAAAAGTTTTTTCAGATTACACAAAGAATGTCTGTTGTTTTTTCTTTGGTGTTCTGCTTTGTGTACAGCAATCACTGGAGTGATTTACAAGTAACAGAAACTGTATAGTAGATGCCTATTTACTACTTGGAAGAGAATGAAAAAAGCTAACTGAAAACGAAAAAATACTCCATGTTAGCTTTTTTCCTTGAATGTATTTCTTGCTACATATTGTGGTGAAAACTCAGTTACTCTGTATGGTCTGTTTGTTGGAGGTTTTTTTTGATTGATGTGGTTTGGGTTTTTTTTTTGTGTGGGGGGGTTTTTTTTGGGGTTTTGGTTTGTTTTTTTTAAAATCCAAAGTCAGTTTGATTCTGATAATTGAATAGTTGTTTATATAAAGCTGAATATTAGCATCTGATTATTTCCTTTTGACCCAACATTTATAGTTTTCAGGGATGCTTTTCTTAGAAGGATCATGTTATGTTTCTAAAAATATTTTTCCTAATGATTAATATTAGGAGATTTCAGTTGTCCTTTTTTCTACTACGTAAAGGAAAGCATAAAATTAAAAAGTAATGTTTGTGACATACTTTTTCACAAAGGAATAAAAGAGGAAACTTTAAAGGTATGGTATTCTTGAGAGAGCTTATAGGAAGAAAGCTAGAAAGCAGACAACTAAGAAAATAGTAGCTTCTCTCAGTAAGTAAGGTTTAGTAAGGTTTCTCTCGGTATACATTTCTCAAGCTTACATGTGCCTCACACAGGGAAGCTCACAATTGTTTGAGTGGCACCATGGAAGCCTTTGTGCTTTTCTATGAACTTGTGTTCCTGACAAATTGAAAAGAGTAGAGCAGCAGAAAGCATCTCTTACCAACAAAGAGGAGACACAGCCCAAACAATTCCCAGTAGTGGTGCTTTTTTTTTTTCTTTCTGTTTCACACTTTCCTTGTTTACCTGTGTAGAAAAGCTTCCATTTTTAATTTGGACAAATGAAATGTAAAGGTGCGCTCATCTCTCTCAGTACCCTGAAGAAAGATGCAGCCTTCAAATTCAGATAAGAAGTATTATTTGATTCTTCCTAAGTTGCTGATTGACCCAGTCACAAAATGGTGCACATGAGGAAGCCAAAACCCTTTTTTGACAAGGCTGAGAGATGACATTGAGCAGTAAGGACAACAAAGGCATATATGTAATGTCTTCTAAAATCTAGTTATTTGGTGGGATTATGATGATTTTGTTTGTTGATCTTGCTAGCTCTCTGTTGAACGTAGTTTAGCTATGCTTGCTTTCACAATTTAAAAAAAACTTGCCTGAATCCTGAAAAGAGATACAGACTGTATCTGCTCTGCATTTGTTGAAATACAGTTTTATGTTAAAGAAATGGCTGATAAAGGTTGAAAGAAGGTAAAGATTCTATACTTTGCTTCCTCCATAGGGATATGTTTCTTATTGTAGTTGGCTAAAAGAGCTTTAAATAACACATTCCATTAGATTAGTTGAAATTAGGAGCTCTGAAAAATGATTAATATCAAGATGACTAATTTCAATTTTCTCTGTCCTTCTCACTAGTATGTTGCCCAAGTTGTGACACTGAAGCTCTTAAGCACTTCTCTTATAATTAAAGAAGACAAGAATGTGGCAGAAACTCTTAAAGTACAGATAATTGATCTGAGTACCAAAATATCACAGCGCCCAGGAGCACAAGCCATTAAGTAATTGAATTGGTATTTTCTTCCTTTCTCTGCACCCCACCACCTTCCACCCCTCCTGACTTTTTACATCTTTTCTTGTGTAGTGCCTTTTGTCTTATATTGACTTGTAAATTTATGGACATAATAAATAATGTAGAATGGAGTTTTGGGGAATATTGAAGGTGCAGCCTAAATGCTGCACAAAAATAAAAGTAGTTTTGAAAATATTTTACATGAATGCATGCCATATAATTTAGTTGATTTTAATTTTCTGGAACAATGTAATCTCTCTATGGAGAGATTCTCTCTATGGAGAATGGAAAGAATCTCTCTATGGAGACAGGCTTGTGATATTGATTACGCCCCTGCTGCGTTGCATTCCAAAGTCAGGGTTTCCAATGCTGGAGATCCAGGACTGAAAAATCAGTTTTGTATCTCTAAGGTATTTCTAAGGATTAATTAAGTGTGTGGTTTGGTGGTGTTCAGCTGACTTTCTTTCAGAGGCATTTTTCTACTGACTCCACTTAACACTATTGTCGGAAGCTGTCAGTAAAGAATAGGTATTTGCACCAAAACAACTCTGTAAATGATTTTTGAAATAAATATGTAATAGTTAAATCTTACTTAGTTCTTTTTCACCTGTAGCTTAAAAATTCTGCATTTATTTTCTCTTGCAACTAATTCTCTTAGTAACCATGAGCTGAAAGTTATTTTCAGTCCACCTTGCAGATAACAGAAGGTAAAAATTTCACAGTTGTGTCACTGTGAACAATTTGCTTCCTGTTTATTTTTCCAATTTATTAGTGTAACAATTTCTTAACTATGTGCTGTGTTAGTCCTGTGAAGCTAGTCATTTTTGGCTTTATCAAAGGCTTTCTCATCTTGCTTGTATTACCTAGATAGAACTCTTCTGTATTCTAATTAAGTATATTCAACTATTTATCATCTTTAGGGTTGAAGCAAAGCTTGAAAACTGGTACGTTACAGGCCTGAGGCAAGAAAACATTGTACCATCTCTTGTGGCTTCCATAGGGGATAGCAAGTCATCTCTACTTCAGATAGAGTTTAATGTTAACCCAGAGGACAGTCCTGCTGACCAGAGTCTTACTATTGAGTCACAGCCTGTGGAAATAAAATATGATGCAGTGAGTAGAAACCAAAATGCTTACCTCTTTTTCCGATTCTCCTTTCTCTGCCACTATTCTCTTTGCCCTGTCAAGATCTATTTTTAGATTTTTACTGAGTGACTGCTGTGTATATTGATAATCCTTTTCTGTCTTTTTTTTTTTTTTAAAGAGAACAATAAATGCGATGGTAGAATTCTTTCAGACAAATAAGGGAATGGATCTTGAAAGATTAACCTCAGCTACATTAATGAAGCTTGAAGAAATCAAGGAAAGAACTGCTACAGGTAAGATAATAACTGAATCACCCATGAGGTGAACCTTTGAATGTATTAAAATGCTTCAATATGATTTACTAAACAATTTGCTTATATTTTGATTGCTGGCCAAATTGTACGTTTGGGTTTTTAACCTGAGTTTTTGACTTGGTGGATTAATGGATGTTTTGGGGGCTTTACTCAAGATGTGTTATCTTCCAGATATTTGTGCCAGTCAACATATGAAGAGATGCTAGCTGTTTCACTTGTGAATAACATTTCAATTTTAATGGCTCTTCCTTTTTATTTAAGGATTAGTTCATATTATTGAAATGCGGAAAGTCCTTGATTTGAGGATTAATCTGAAACCTTCCTACCTTGTGGTTCCACAGACGGGTTTCTACCATGAAAAATCAGATTTGCTGATTTTGGACTTTGGTACATTTCAGGTATATAAATAGCTTCTCTTATAAGCTCAGAGGAATAAAATACTTTATTCTCTTAACGTAGCTGCTACCTGAAGCCAAAGATGATAATTTGTGTGAATGTGTTTTAATTTACTGTATTTCCTACCAAATAAATTTGGGTCAGCAATGTCATCACTGTTCAGAGCTGTGAAGTTGACTTTGACATACTTGTACTAGTTAATCTTGCCAGGAAATAATTCTACTTTGTAATCATGACTGTAATAGCAACATTTAATATTTCATTTATTCAGCAAGACGTATGGACTTTTATTTCTTTTTTTGTAAAATGGTAGCATTTTATTAATAAGAGAAGATAATTTTTCTCTTGGCATTTGATAGTTGATTCTCTTGTTCCTATAAAATTGAAAGATTACAATAATTGAACTTGATTTTAGCTGACTAATTAAATATTTATTTTAGTTGTACTCCAGCAGTAAACTTGTAAAATAATAAGGAAAATGCTTTTTGTTCTTTATGTGTTTAGCTGAACAGCATAAATCAAGGCAGTAGTCAAGCTTCTAGCTTTTCATCTTTAGAGGAGATTATGGACAAAGCTTATGACAAGTTCGATGTGGAAATAAAAAATGTGCAACTTCTTTTTGGAAGAACAGGTAACAGAACAACATAGTTGCTGTTCACTCAAAAGACTGATAAAGGCTATCTACCTGTAATAAATAGGGTTTTTTAAAGAAAAAAAAAGCAAACCAAAACCAGTAGTTAACTAGAAGACATATTGTAATACACGTCTAGTATTGAACTGAAAATATGCGTTAGTTTCTCTTCAAACAGCTGCTTAAATTCTGATTGCACTCGTGAGTCACCTCTTTACTTTGATGCTAGCAAGAAAGGCAAATGCATAGTGTTATATTTTCATGTGCAGGGAAATACAGTTAAAATTTGCCTTAATACTTGATTTGGATGTAAGTTTGTGCAGTCAACAAAATGCTAGGTTACTGTTTTATATTTATCTATCCATCTATTTTTTTAGGGTTCTATGTTCAAATACACCTTTTAGTGTAGAATTGGGATTAAGGATGTTAAAGCAATATATTGTTAAGAACTACTGAAAGTAGATTCTAAAGTTCTTAAAATGCTATTCTCAAGTTTTTCTAGGTTTTCTTACTTTGTGAGTGGGTTCTTTATCCTTTCCTAGTGATGCCATTTGATTACTTTAATGATACCTTAATTAAAGCAAGTAGGAAGCTATGTTTTTTTCATCTAAATTTACTGAATGTTTGCAGGTGAAGACTGGAAGAAGGCTCGGTTCCAACATCCATCAACTTTGCATATATTACAGCCTATGGATATTCATGTACAGTTGGCAAAATCGATGGTGGAAAGAGATACCAGGATGGCAAAGTAATATATTTATGTTGAAATTATTTCTTTTTAATTACTGTGTAATTACAGAAAATAAAATTGTATTTTCTCCAAAGGTTCAGTTACACTTTATAATTTGAAGGTAATAACTTAAGAAATAGAAGTAGTTTACTACTTTTACAAAACATTTTTTGGCTAGTAGTTCCCTGCTCACCTTCACTGGTTATACTGTTTCAACTGAGTCCAAAACCTCATTTTAATGCAGAGTCACTAGCTTTACTGTCCAGTGATCTTTATATAAGTATAGGTATTGGTAAGAGTCATATCAAGAATTGGTATACACTTTTTTTTGTCTTGGAGTTTAACAATTTTTTTTTTTTTTTTAAAAAAGGTTTAAAGTGTCAGGAGGACTTCCTTTGGTGCACGTCAGAGTCTCTGACCAGAAAATCAAGGCAATTTGTGATCTGATTGATAGCATTCCATTGCCTCAGAAGTCATCTGTGTCAATTCCAAGCACAAAGGTAAGCTGACTATAACTAAGAAAATTGAAACAAAAGACGTGACATCACTAAAGTGATCATTCCAAGTGTGAATTCTTGCTGATGTCTGTGGTCTTTCACTTGAAATAAGAGACCTGTTGCCAAGCTGAGTAAGGCAAAGTGTATTCATTGTGATTTACCATCATAAAAAGCTGGATTTATTCAAACAGGGCTAGCTTAACCTTTGGTATTGTTCTGCTGGTTTCAATATAAGTATTGGCAAAACTGACCTTTCTAAGTTTTATAGGGGAGGCAAGGTGAAACATGCATCATCAGTAGCAAATACAACTGAACATACGAAGTTATACAAATTTTAAAATCGTGATTTTGATTTGTTTTTTTTTCTTTTTTCCTCCCTCTAGGTACCAGCTATTCCTAAAATTCCTGTTGTTAGTAAAGGGTTACTTGATGCACCCCAGTTGTTAGCAGAAATAGTGTCAGGTAAGAAGCTACAGATACGCATTTGTAAAAGTAGAAGACTATAACTTACAGAATAGTTAACATTTTCAGGCGCTATTGATCTTAAAACACATTATAAGTACAGTAGGGATGAGTATGGTTGGTCATCTCTAACTTCGAGTGCATAAAAAGATTTGATTAAGATGTTGATGCTAGAATAACAAACTTGCTTTTCTATAAAAGAAAACAACCCTTTTTTGGGGGGGATTAATTAATATTATGCATAAGCAGCTTCTTCAAATGTGAGCCATTAATAACACCTGTATTAGAATGTCATTAGCAAACAAATTTAATTATTCAGATGTCATGAGACAGCTTTTTTGCAGACAGTATTGAGGAATCTGTTATTTCTGAATTGACTAAAATCTGTAAGTGGATTTTAGTTGCTGCACTTCAGGACACATACTTTGGGTTGGGCACATAAAAAAGGTTACACGTCTAAAGGATGTGTACACTTGCATTAAGCTGTCAACATGTGGCAAAAATAGACTGTTACAAACATAACATAGGTATTATCCTAAATGTGTCACATTAGCAAAGCTCTCCTTTTTCTACAAATGCAGAACTGGAATAACAAGCGGCACGTTACTGTATTGAGACTGTGGATTTGAGCATTTACTTCTGTGGCTGTTCTAGAGGAGAACTTTCCTGTAGTGGAAATTGGGAAACTTGTTTCCTGGAGCTTACTTTTAACTGTTTTTCCTTATATGTGTTCTTGAATGTATAATGATACAGCTAAATTCTAGTGCTTTCCTTAATAGGGCTTAATTGCCTTCACTTCTCATCCAATGAGTAAGAAAGCAGTATAGATCTAAAAAGTGTACTTTGTCAGATTAGGTTTTAACTGGTCATACATTTTAAAATTCCATTGGAAGGGGAAAGAGAGGGTGGGATACTTACCCCTGATTCTGGGAAGAGTTTATTGAGAAGGAAATAATTTCTGTTTTGTAGACTCTGAAGAAGAATATTTTGATTTTGAGGAAAGTTCTGAACCAACTGACAAGCCACTAGTTAAAGGAGAAGCAGCAACGAATAAGGAGGTTGATAAAGAGGAACTGACAGATCTTCAGCTGAAGTTTGAAATTAAAGAAGTATGTCTCTTCAATTCTATTTTTACCTTCTATGAAGAATATAGAATTCAGTGTTCTATTACTAAAATCATAAAGTATATTTGTATCTCTCACCATCAAGCAGTCACTTTTTTCTACTTTTACACTTTAATACTATAATAAAAACAATACTTACAGTGAAGCAGACAAGGCATTAAAAATGTTGCAGTTTCTCCATTGTTGGTTTGAACGGTGAGAATACTGCATGTGAAAAGATGGTATAACTGTATTTCTTGTTCATCCAGGTTTTAGTAGAACTCACGAGGCAAAAGAAATCTGAGGAAACAGTACTTGTATTTGATGTGATGCATCTTGGGACAGAAGCTACTGTCAGAACCTATAATCTAGCAGCTGAGACTTATTTAAAGAAAATAAGCTTGGATTACTATGAAATTGGAGGTAATAAGCAATGGAAGAGAAGTATACTAGTATGTGTATATATATATATAGCAGTTGGAAATTGTGCTTCTCCTGTTTCTTGTGCTCACTGAAATTGTAGAAGCATAGAATGGTTTGGGTTGGAAGGGACCTTAAAGATCACTGACTTCCAACGCCTACCCCCAACGCCTGCCACTAGATGAGGTTGTTCAAAGCCCCATCCAGCCTGGTCTTGAGCACTTCAAGGGATGGGGCAAATCCAGATGTTGTTCTAGTTTTCCAGTTACAATACTTAGTACACAGCTGTCTTGGCAATGCTTGTCCCACTGGTACATGTGAAAAGCTCTGGATTCCTACTGTAATGCTTATTAGATAAATAAATAGCGTAGTGCTCCATCTTTGGATGGAGAAGGGGTACAGACTTGCTGTTTTGGACTTAACAAAGAGAAACTAGTGATTCATATTTGGTGGTGCTATGTATTTTAACAAAAGGTATTGAAAGTATATCCTGATCTTAGAGGCCCAAAATTCTTTGGTTCTCTGAAACTACAGAAATTACCCTAATTCTTGCTTATTTCATGTGGTATGTTACAGGTAAAAAAACACCCATTCATCTGATTAGTTCCTCAGATAAACCTGGCTTAGACCTTCTGAAGGTGGAATATATCAAGGTATACATAAAGCTTTTTGAATTCATTTTTAAAGCAGTTTTAGATATTATAAAGTTTTAAACCTACTATTCAGAGCTAGTGGATTGTATTTTGTCTTCTGAAGAGCACAGTGACTGGTTGGAATCAATGTTAACCTTCATGTGAATCACAATTTTTAGGCTGACAGAAATGGACCACACTTTCAGACAAACTTTGACAACACTGAACAGATGATTCAGGTGAGTGCTTGCAGATTTTATTGCTTTATTTTCTTTTGGTTTTCTTGCTTAAAATGGGGGAATCAATATGAGATTTTTGCCTTTCCTGGTTCCTCCCAACACCTGGCCTTGCAGCAGGGAAATTTAGAGTTAAAATGTGCTTTGAAGTTTTTCTAAAACTTAATATAAGACCAGTATGTTAGTCTTAACTATGCCAAAAAAACTGTTTAGCTCACGTGGATAAAATTCAAAATAACATAAGAATGCATTTTCTCATGCATATGAGATCACAAAGTTCAAATGCCCAGTATGGGAAAATGTAGTGAGGTCTAGAATTCTTTCCTTTTCCTAACAAATAATCTGTTTGTATTGTGAGAGTGACATAAACAGCACTCTGGCTAAATTTACTAAGAAGCCTAATTCCACTTATGAGTTCAGTGGTTTTTTTCTCCGGTGGGAGAGGGCAGAGGGAAGTATTGTTCTAATTCTTCAGTGTGATATATGGCTCAGGAGCTTCTTGTCATACTGCATTATCCTCTCCATCACTTCTATCATAGATTCTAAAATGAGAATTTGATCTGTTAAAAATTATTGCAATATAGCACAATGTTTTTAGACATCAAGTACCTAACTTAAGTTCTGACTGTTAAATTAATGGTGTATTTTTGAGCCAGAGATTTCAATCTAAGGAAAAACAGTGTCTTGAGGAATTATCAGAATCAACTAAAGGGCTGTCAGTTTTCTGTGATAGGTACTTCCCTCCCTTTATAACTTTATGGCATTATTTTGCCTGCAATTTTTTGTTGTGAAGATTGAAATATTTCACTCACCACCCAATAGTTTTAGAGTATCTATAGATTTCATCAGGGAAGTCTGGTTAATACTGGAATCCTTTTGCCAAGAAAAGGTTCCTGAAGCTGCATCAGGGGATGACAGTTCTTATCTAATTAAGTTTTCCACTTTGTTAATGCACTTTCCCATAATGAGTTTTTCACTTATTTAATGCTGTTAAATTAATTTTGTATCACTTTACTTTTGTATGGGGAGGTGATAGGTTAAGAGTCATGGCTGATGTGTTGTTCTTAGGTTTCCTTATTTTCTAAGCTTACCACTTCTCTGCTTTATGGAAAGCTTTTTTTCCTTTATCATCTGCTGCTGGTAACATGTGCAGCTTTTATATTTCTAAGAAATTGTTATATTCTGTTGAGTGCCTTTGCACCTCAGTCCAACTCCTGTAAGTAATTTTTTTATTATATGGAGTCTCGTGTTTTCAACAGGTAGCTTTTTCATCGTTGAACCTTCTACTGCATACAGAGGCCCTTATGTCTGCTGTCAGTTTTCTAACAGCTCTTAGTCCATCAGGCAGTGAAAGTAGAGGAGAGACACCAACTAAAGCTGAAAAGCAAGAAGGTGACACTAAATTGAAGAAAGGTATGGTTGTATTAGTCAAAAAGAGTGTTCTGAAAGGATGTTTTTGATGCTGGCAAAATGATCAAATCCAGAGAGACCTGATTAGCTTTGTGTAGTGTGGGGTGAACATCAAAGGTTATGTGACTGGCTCACCAGGCTGGAGGAGTGATTTAGAAAAAAATGTGTGAAACAACGATTATGATTGTAATTTCTTCAGATTGTAAGGTCTTCAGGTGACCTTTCAATTCTTGTGTTTCATTGCCATTTCAGAAACAGACTTGAATTTGAGAGGACTCAAAATAGCATCATGATCTTAATGTTCATATAAACATTAAATAGAGGTAAAATAGAGGAGATACATAGCATCCTCAAAGTACTATTTTATTGATCTAGGCAATTTTATTGATCTAGGCAATTTAAATACACTGTCAAAGAAGTAGTTGAGTCTTTTGCTAGCCTAATGAACATCTTGCTGTTCTTGTAGCACTGAAATTAAAAATGAATTTATATCAAAATAAGCTCAGAGGGGAGCAGCTGCACTGTCTTTAATACTAAGTGCAAAGCCTAAGCATCAGGTGAGCTGGAAATTATATGTTTAGTAAAGAATGTTCAGAATCACTAATAATTTTAAATGGCCTGTGTTTCAATCTGCAAGCTGAAAAAGAAGCTGCTGCTGTGTACAGTTTAACAAAGCCCATAAATATTTGAGCTCTTAGATCAACACTTCGCTACTCTTGATTAATGAAGGTGCAGATCATCAGTGAGGTCTGATGGTTTCTGGTCTTCACCCATAGATAGTTTTTGACCCTTGTGTGTGACTTGACCTTAGTCTCCTCAGCCTTAACACCTGCTCTTGTAAAACCTGGGTGTTGGCCACCTGAAATGAGCTTCCTAGGTTTGCCGTTTCTTATGAGCTTTTGCCCTTCAGTTAAAAAAGGTAAAATTGTTCCAATAGAGAGTCATCTCTAGATGCAAATGATATCAGACATAGAATTAAAAACAAATGCTGACATGTTTTGCTCTTATCAGTAGAGCTGCCGTCAGAGAAAGACATGTTGCTCTAAGATGGGATGTTAAAGACTTAATTGTCATAGTGATGATGAAGGAAACTACAGGAAAAAAACCTAAGTCATCTGAATGCCAAAAAACCCTCTATACCAAGACAACCCTCAAATACTCTCTGGAGTGTAAGTGAAGATATTAAATATATTTATCTTGAAAATCCTTCTCTCTCTTGTTTCCAGTGGCTAGACCTTCCAAGGATAAGGATGTCTTTGACTTGAAGCTTTTTGCCAAGTTGGATGCCTTCTGTTTAAATATTTGTGATGAAAAAAAGAACATTGCAGAGATCAAGATACAAGGTATTAATTTCTTTGTTAGTAGTTTAGTTTCAAAGCAGTTGCTAATAGTTGGACTAAAAGATACTTAAGGTGTAAATTTTCAGCATCTGACTACTTTTTTGTATTGTTATCTGTACAAACATGGCTTGTGTCATTGTTTTCAGTCAGTCTCCTAGTCTATCATAATACTTTGGCTTCCAGCTAGGAAAGCATGTTATACTATTTCTCAGGTAATTGGGTTCATGTTTTGCAAGAGTTTGATTATGGGTGGCTTGTTACGTTGCATTAAGCTTTGGATATTTTTATGCTATGCCTGAATCATCTAGGATTTAAAAAAAAAAAAAGCCCTTAAAATTGTTTTCTTTGGTTTTAAACTCTTAGACTGTGTTTGGGTTTCTTGTTTGGGTTTTGTTTTCTTGATTCTTTTTCAAAGGGGCTATCAATAATTCAGGAGTGGAGTTACACTTCCAACTTTGGTGATAGCTGCTAAAACTTTCTTTTAGTATGAATATTGAAGGATGAGTGATACACAGGAGAATGTAATACAGTTCATAAAAAGTCTTTTGCTTGTGCCCATCTCTAAGTCACGTGATGTATTCACACAAGGTTTTGTATGTGAAAGTGATGTATTCAAATGCAGTATGGTAACATGTTTTTGATAGACAATCTTAGTTTACTAACTCAGTAGCTTGGTTATTAAGAGATAGGTTATTGTTTAAATGTTTTTCTATTAATATTAGTTTATTTCTTTCCAGATTGATTGATCTTGAGAAATTAGAGATTTTTCTCTTACGTTTTGTTCAAAGCTGTAGTGTGATAACATTCTTAAAGCTTCATAACACACAGCATAGTGAATGGACTTGGATTTGAACTGTGGACAATATAATTATCTTCTGTGTCTGCCATAAAATGCAAAAAGTCTCTTTTTCTAGAACTTAAAAATACTTTTTTTTTTATGAGAATTTATGACAGTTGAGGAATTACTTCTAATTATTCTGATTAGGATATAGGGAGACTAAAATGCCTTGGATCAAACAGAGGTCTTTTATTCCAGTCCCTTCAGCAAGGGATGTGGTAACTGACTTATTTCATTTGGAAACAGAGCGAATCAAGTGTGTTCCTGTATTTTTGTGGGTATTTTGAATCTTTGTTGAATTTAGCAAACTACTAACAAAAGAATTGTTGGAATGTGTAATTTCTGCAACTTTTCTCACCTCCTCTGCTGTGTCCTGTGCCCCCCACCCTGAAAATGAGTGTTAGCTTCTGTTATGCAGTGCTACTGTTTCTCTCTTTGCAGGTCTTGACTCATCTCTTCTCCTTCAACCAAGTCACACTGTATTCTTTGCCCGACTTAAAGACATAGTTGTCACAGATGTTGATTCAAGGACCCTTCATAAAAAAGTACTCAACTACAAGATTTTAAGTTTTACTTGATTCTTGGTTAGTTTTGTGTGTATAAAAGCAAAATGTAATGCGTATTCTTATTCCATGCTTTTAAAAAAATTTTACTTGTCACAAATACCTCTCTTCAAATGAAATACATGGTATAGCGTAGTTTTCAGATTAGAAGAATGGATGAAGAAAAATAGTGTCTACCTGTGCATCTGATAGACTGACAATATATTTAGTTCTTTGTGTTAGGTACCTTTTTAGAAGCTGCTGATGGCTGGTGGAATATATTTAGTTCTTCTTTGTGTTAAGTACCTTTTTAGAAGCTGCTGATGGCTGGTGGTACTCTTTCTCCCTTTCTAGGCTGTGTCTATAGTAGGAGATGAAGTTTTCAGTTTCAATCTGACATTAGATCCATATGCTACAGAAGGAGAAGCCTACACTGACATGTCAAAAGTGGATGGTACTGTATCTTTGAAAGTAGGCTGTATTCAAGTAGTATACCTTCACAAATTTCTCATGTCTCTTCTGGTAAGTCTTTTTTTCCATCGTATGTTTCTACTGGGTTCTCAAATCAGTCTTCCTTGTTTGTATACTCAGCACAAAGGGTGACTTAAGTTTCTGAAAGAGAAAGGATAGGCTTAATTTTTCATGTGTGCTATTGAAAAACTTTAAGGCTTAACTGGCTTGAATTTCAAAAAAACTAATACAATGCAACTGGGTCACTTCCCACCCTCTGCTTTGGAAATAGAGAAAAGACCAGTGCTATTAAGGTGTTCTGGGGGTTTTGTGTTTGCTGGAATCTCCACCTGGGAAAAACCTGAGTTCATTACAGACGTATCTGAGCTAACATCAGAGGCAAAACTGTCTGCAAGATTAGATGCTATGAGGATTACAAATTAATCAGTGTAAATATTTGTGCCTTCATCGAGTATCCTAATGTTGGCTTTTTCAATAAAGCACTAGTGGGATTTCTGTCACTGAGTGCTGGCTTTAGTAGGAATTAGTATTCACTGGGGGCATAGAGGGGCTCTAAAAATAATGTGTCACTAAAAGCTAATGAGGTAATAGAATCTTGTAGCTAATGAAGGAAGAAAAATTAGAGATGGGTTTAAAATGAGTGGATTGTATTGGTTAGTATGTTTTTATCCCTCTACTAGAGGTCATGACAGAAGACACTCCCTTACCTTTCCCCAGGCAGCATAATTGGTGTTTGATGCTGGTTGTGGTTGATGTTGTAAAATGAGAGAGTAATTTAGATTAAAAGCCTGTTTACAGACATTTCTCTTCTCTCTTCAACCACTTATTCTAGGCCTTCTTGAACAACTTTCAGACAGCTAAAGAAGCCCTGAGTGCTGCTACAGTCCAAGCTGCAGAAAAGGCTGCTACCAGCGTAAAAGATCTGGCTCAAAGGAGTTTCCGACTTGCAATGGACATTCACTTGAAAGCACCAGTTATTGTCATTCCTCAGTCCTCCGTTTCCCCCAATGCTATAGTAATAGATCTTGGCTTGATTAAGGTTCAGAACCAGTTTAGCTTGGTGTCTGCAGAAGGTGGTTCGCTCCCTCCAGTCATTGACAAAATGGATGTGCAGCTGACAAAGCTGAAAATGTCTAGGTAAAGTGCACTTTACTAATGCCTTAGCTAATTTGTAATATTAATAATCTGTAGAAAATGAGTCATTGGAAACCATGGTTGGTGACACTGTCAAATATTGGGTGTTAAAATACCAACCTGTTATCTTAAGAGCAAATAAATCAGTAGTAAAGCAAGATACTATTTTGCTCAGGAAGACGCTTAAGCTTAAGGAGATGTTACATTTGGGACATTATGATGTTACTTTGAAAGTGTAGCATATGACTTAACTTCTAACTTCCCCACCATGTGTTGTGTTCCCCCTACCCCTTTGTTTTAAGGACCACTATGGAAGCAGGTTTGTCGCATCCAGACATTCAGATACTTCACCCTATTAATTTAAGCCTCTCTGTGAAACGAAATCTGGCTGCAGCTTGGTTTCACAAATTGCCAGTATTGGAGGTCACAGGATATCTGGATACAATGAATGTAAGTCTTGTGAAAATAAGGTGGCAAGAAGCTTGTGATAATACTTAATGTAAGACTAATCTTTATGTTATTTCTGGACACAACGGTGCAACAAACAGCAGAATTTTTAGTCACTGAGTGAGTTTCAGGGGTGTCAACAGGGTTTAACCTACCTGTGTGAACGTAGAGGTTTTCTAACTTCCTGTCTCCCTTGAACAACCTTAAGATCGCTGGTTTTTATGACAATTCATATACTGTGGAAGGAAATACCAGGTACATCTTGGGTGAAATGGAAATTAAAATACCATGAAGTAGTATGTCATTTACAGGAAAGTAGTAAAAGCATCGATACACTAAATAAAGGCTGTGGTATATATTGATACAGCTTCTTTAATGTCCTAATGCTTTAACAAGAAGCAGTTAAAAGAATGTCATTGTGATGTTTAAGGGATGATTACGCTGACAGAATACCTGTAAATAAGTACTCTTATTGCTAGGAAGCATTTACTAGTTAGTGATAAGTTTAAAGAATAATTTGCTTTTTCTGAGAACTGTGATGTGCAATTTTGTAGGTTGTGTTAAGTCAAGAGGATTTGAATATCTTTCTCAAAGTGTTGACAGAAAACCTTGGTGAAGCAGAAGAACAACAAACTCATGCAAAATCAGTGCTGCAAAAGGAAGGTCAGATATGGAATTTGTTTGTCATTAATATTAAGTGTGTTAGTTTTCAGGAATAATGAAAAGCCTTTATTATCTGGAAAGCAAGCTTAGGTCTGAAAGTATGCTTTGTAAGTGATAAACTCTCAACTTTGCAAGGACAGTGTTTATACTTTAATAATTTTTTAAAAAGTGGAAATATTAGAAATCAATCGGGTAATTATGTTTAGCTAAATTGTCACAAAACTAGCAAGGTATCAAGTTGTCAGAGTCGTCTTGTTGTCAGAACATGTTTCTATTTCCTTTGCATGCTCTGAAGTTAAAGGCTCTGCTTGTGGAAATGTTGCTAGCTTATGTGAATGTAAGCCATCTAAATAAATAAAGTAATTGGATATGTTTCTTAAGCTAAACAAATGGTGGTGATTTCAAAAACTAATCAATTTATTGAATACTTCAGGTAAAATCAAAGAAATGGAGAAATTGTTTTTGACGCAGGATAAGAGTGACCCAGAAGGAATGCTGTCTGAAAAGAGAAAAGGAACATTAAGTGAAGATGTAATCAATATGCTACTTAATTTTGAAATCAAAGAGGTATGTATCCACCTGTAAAATTTATTGTTACTGAATACAGTGCTCAAGTCTGTTTCTTAAAAGCAGTGGGCTATAAAGTCCTTTTTAACTGATTAAAGAAGATGGTACATAGTGGTAGAAAGAAAACAAACAAACAAAACCCCAGAAAACAGATTCTTCAGCTGTTTCTTTAGCTGTTTTATTTTGTCTGTATTATGTGAGGTTGTCTTTATAGAATATTTAACATACGCCGTACATCTAACAGGGAAAGCTAGAGGTCTTTGGGATGGTCTGCATTCTCGTAGCCTTAATCCTTCATAATGCTGCATATGATTCTCTTAGTAACAAACCAGCTGAAATAGTGAAGCTAAAACTACTATTTTTCCTTTAGAGGTACTAAGTCTGAAGGTTAGGTTTTAGGTGAAGTGTTGGGGAAATGCACAATCAATCAATCAACAAAGATACTTATGCATATGAAGTTGATACTTAAATGTGAAGAGCTCATAATGGCCTTTTATTTTTTGTCAAGAGTCAGACCAAATGGTTTAGATATGCAGGTTACTTTAACTGGTTAGATTTTTTTATTGTGTGGTTTTTTTTTTTTTTTTTTGTATGTGTAACAGTATCTTCGGCAGTTTCTAGCTCTCAGATTTGCTGTTTTGGCTGTGAAGGATTATTTTAATGGTAGGACTGACGCATATTGCAGGCCAGCCTGTTGTGCTCTGTGTTGTCTTATCTCATATCTTATAAACAATTCTGTCTTGTTTAATGCAGTTTCACACACGCTTCACAGGAACATTTTTCCTAAGGTAGCAGCCGTGGTGTCTGTGGACTATATATGTTGGGTGATTAATGATAAAATACTTATTTGTTAGTGTGCAAAGAGTATTCTGCATAATGATGCAGACAAAGTACAGACAGACTTGAATTCTTTAAATTCCTTGTGTTGGACATTTTTACTAAGGTAGCAGCCGTGGTGTCTGTGGATTATATATGTTGGGTGATTATTGATAAAATACTTATTTGTTAGTGTGCAGAGTATTCTGCATAATAACGCAGACAAAGTACCGACAGACTTGAATTCTTTAAATTCCTTGTGTGGCAAATGGCTAGGCTGAGGCACTATTTTTACTTCCTATGAATGGGAGATAACTGCCTTGTGAAACAATTGCATTGAAATTGACATTGTTCATTAATGACTATGTCTAGCTCTTCTACTTTAATTTTTAGCTACATTTAGAAGCACAAGGTTTTTTTCTCATTTTCAAGATTCTAATCAGTGCTTAAAATCTTCTAGACATGGAGAATTGTAATGATGAAACATTTCTGTGTACTTAGTATTTGCATGGCATCAGATATTCAAAGATTGTTTCATGTTACTGTCTGTTCTCTACTGCCCTTTCTTCATGATTATTTGCATAGCATCAGATATTCAAAGATTGATTCATGTTACTGTCTGTTCTCTACTGCCCTTTCTTCCAGACTAGTACGGTTTGGGTTAACTGGTTTTTCTCATATTCAGACTCTGTATGTAGTAGTGTGTAGTGTCTGACTACAGAACTAAAGCATACCTTGACAAGGTAAAGATACACTGCTAGGCAAACAGAATGAAATTCTAGCCACAATATTAGACTTGAGGTTTTTGTTTTGTTGTTGAAGTAGTTAAGAAGTAATTGGTTACTTGGCCAAAAGGAACAGAGAGGGAAGGAAAAACCGATGGTGTAGTTTCTCATTCCAAAAAAGCAAAATGTCTAGATTAATGCTACTTTTGAAGCTTAGCTGAGGAGATAATGCCCAATTATAACTGCTTGCCAAAATATCTGGAAAGCTTTACTGAAATAGTGAACTTATTTCCCTTTCTATATTCAAGGTTGTAATAACCTTGATGAAGCAGGTTCAGAAGGAGAGACACCCATTACATATTCTAACAGTGCTACAGCTTGGAATTGAAACCAAAATTAGAAATAATGAATTGACTGCAGCAGCATATCTGAAAAAAATTATTATGAGATGCATTGAAATAAAAGGTAAGTCTTCTAGAGAACTGGTGTGCAGTCAGTACAGTATGTGCAATTAGCAAGAGGATAGCTCAGTCAATAATAATTAGCGGGGGGAAAAGGGCGGGAGGTTACATACCAAATTGACTTAATGAAGCAGTTTTTGATCTGTTTTACCTGGAATCACGTTCTTCTCCTGTTGCTAGAATTAGCCTCAGTTAATTTGAGTTAGTTGCCTGCTTTGAGTAGGAATGGTCATTCCTGAGAAGTATCCTATCTATTCAGAGTGTTTTGATGAGCTTCTGAATCTGTGCTTTACGACCAGTTCTGGCAGTTTTGATGAGCTGCTGAATCTGTGCTTTACGACCAGTTCTGGCAGTATGTGCTTCCAGTGGCCAGTGTGCTTCCTTGGTTGGTCAGACAACACTTCAAAGGGATGCTAAGTAATAACTGAAATAGCCACGTAGTTGAAGTAGGAAAGTATGGTTTTGAATAGAAAAACCTAAAGGTAGGAATGCAAAACCGATTACAGGAATGCAAATAACTTCCCAATTTTGAATCCTTTTTCGGGACCAAGATACGTTGATCTTGATAAGTTTAATTAAAAAAAAAAGTGAATACAGCTTTTCAGAAGGTGAAGGTAATCTGCAGCTTCTCAGTGAAAAAAGATGTTTACCTTCACTGTTTCAGCAAGAAGAGTATATAATTAGTATATTGTTGAGAATTAGCCTGGGGGCATTCCATAGGTGGAGTAAAGATTGTGAGCAGAAGTACCTCACAGTTGTATTTCTTTACTTGCAGACTCAAAAGGAGATCCTCTTTGCATTATTAATTCTTCAAGTGAAACAGATGACCACCTTCTCAAAATGGAATACATCAAGGTTTCTATACCTTTTAACTAAGATTATATGGGGAGTAAAATAAGGCTTCTGTACTTAGTCTGTGTTAGATTTCTTTTTTTTTTTTTTGCTTGTTTTAAAACCTGTAGGCTTTGTGTCTAAAACTTATCTAGGTTTTCTCCGAAATACCTGTTTTTCAACTTAACATTTCATTTCACTTTCCACTGCTTCCATATAGGGCTTGCTTCATAAGGCAATACGATCACTGAAATCACTGGGGAAGCCAAATGTTTGTCTGTGTTCTTCTCTGTGAAAAATACAGATTAGTACCTTTGTGAAACTAAATAGGTGAGATAGTCTTTGCCTCTATAAGTGACAGATGGCTCTCTACAGCTGGCAAAACTAGCATTTGAGGACTGATATGTTGGTAGCTAGCATTCTTAAGCTTTTAATAAAAAATTAAGTGCCCTTCAAACACTGCACAAATACTTGGGAGGGGTTGGACCAGAGGTCCATTCCAAGCCCATATCATTCTGTGATTCTGTGAATCTGATAGGTTGTAGAACCAGTGAACTACTCATACCCTTATCTAAAGGACATAATTTTTATAGAGAGAAACAAACAAATTTTTTCTGCCCAAGTACTAGGCATAAATCAATCAAGTGTAAGTAGATCCCAAGTAAGAGAAAGTTTTGTAACTGGCCAGTTGAACTTCCAGAAAATATGTGCTATAAAATGTCACTGAGCAGAGTATAGAGGGTGCCCCATTCTGATTGCCTTGATCATGTGCTTTATTTAGATAACTTGTTTTTTCAGGCTTCACCATTTTCCTTTGTTTTCTTTTGCAATGGGAATAATCCTTGTGTGTGGTAAATTCCGTTAATTCAGTAAAATCAGTTAATGAATTTCATTAATTCAATAGGGACTGATTGTGTGCTTGGGCTTAATTTTTTTTTTTTCTGCCTTTAGGCTGATCCTGATGGACCAGATTTTGTTACTACTTACAACAGCACCAAGCAAAACATCAATGTAAGTATTGGATGTATTTAACTTTTTTTAAGCTTCTCAAATAGTAACAGCTATGTAAACTTGTTAGTTGCCCACTTTTTCTCTTCTTATTGAAGAGAAAAAAAAAAAAACAATCAAAGCCCAACCCCCTGATTCTTTCATCGTTAAAGCTTATTGCTTTATATTTTTATTGGAGTATCTAATGTGCTCTTTTCTTTTTAACTAGAAGCTGTGCATTTTTAGCTAGTTAAAATTTATAAGGACTTATTTGTATGTGAGGCCTGTAGGATGTGTTTTATTTCTGGAGCAATACGCTTAGCAGTGTGTGAAACAAAGGCTTTGTGTTTCAGTGCTTGAAGGTTTGCAAGAGTGAAATTGAGATATGAGGTGAAATGTCAAATGAGTGTTCTCAGAGATCTTGTGTCCATTGCTTTATTTACTTCTTCAGTAAGCAACTATTTGTGTAGTTTTCCATGCCTTCAGTGACTTCTGAAGTAAGCAGGTCATTTTGCTTTTAAAATGTTTCCTTTAGAGTAGTAGTGGTGGGTGGAACTTGCTTGTAGACAGCCACATGTGGAATTTGAAGTGGTTGGACTGCTTTAGAGTCAAGAAAGCTGACATCCCTTAATGTAGCAGTAAAACCAGCATTTTCCAAGGGTTGCTTTAGGCTTGGGTAAGTAAACTAGCTGATGCCAGGTTTCACTAGGTAATACTGACTTGAGTAGTTGCTACTCATTTACTTCCTGTTCTGATTGCAAGTTTTTAATCTTGTTTTGTTGTGTCATACCTGCTAAAATATTCCTATATGTGCTTCTGGAGACGTCAACCAAAGTGCACAATAGTCCACAACAAAATGCAGTGGAACTACAAGAGCTTACTGAAAAAGCATAACCACATAAGGTATCATTTTTTAGGTAGGCACGGTTCCTCTGTAGCTGTTTAAAGCTCCCCTTCTGCAGCTCCCTCATCTGTTCTGGAGCTTGTGTGGTGTTAAGTTGGAGGAGAAAGAAAAGTGAGATACATATGAAATTGAGCAAGGCACGTCTTTCTCAGTTCTGTGACAGTAACTCCGAGTTGTTATGCAGTGGACCACTTCTAAATAACAATGTTACCTTGTCTCCTTGTCCTCCTTTTAGGTCATCTTTTCATGTTTGGATATAGTACTTCACACAGAGGCTTTGCTTTCCATCATGAGTTTCCTCACATTCAGTGTTCCATCAGGTGGTCTGCCCGGTACTGATAAAGCATCAGACCACAAGCCTCAAATAAAAGAACAAGAAAAAGGAAGTGCTCTCAGACCAGGTAATGCAATATTAGAAAGGCCATGCTTTTGTGCACTCTTGCTTACCAGTGCCTAGCCTTTGGTTTCAAAGGATACCACTTCAGGTGCTAGCATTGCAGTCTGTCTGGTGGAAAAGCAAGGCACGCACAAATCTCTACGTGGGGAGAAAATTATCTTATTTAAAAAAAGCCAGATATTTTTGCTGTTGCGTAATTTTGCAAATTCTCCTTACTCTATACAACTTTTTTCCCAGGCAGTGATCTGACTCTTATAATAAAAGGTAAATAAATGATGTTGCAGTGAACAGTAGCAAAGCCTTTCCAAAGCATTTGTGGCAAAACATTGTTACTTTCCAATCTGGAGGGATCTAAAGAGTATGTACAGCACTGAAAATAAATATTCTTGAGCCCTGGGGAAGAAAAGAGAAGTTCTGAACTGATGGGCGTTGTGCTTATTTTAATAATAGGTATTTGTAACCTTGAAATAGTATGAGCTTTTGTATGGAAGCTCCTTAAGAACGTTTCATCAGATCGTGTCTGGTTGGCTCTTATGTTTGTAGTGTTGTTTGGGAAGTTTAGTTTTCTAATCCTAAATCTATTAGGACTGAGTTTAAAGTGGCTGGCTCTTACCTTTTGTTTACTACAGGCACCTTCAATTTTGCTGCAGAAACTTTTTTAACCTGATATGCCTAAATTTGCCTTGCTGCTCTATATAGAAATGAGCATTTTTCATAGATAGTGTTTCAGATAATGCAATGTACACTGTATTCAGCATACTATTGCATGAAAATTAGATGTTAATGAGAAGAAACAACATCTTGATTGCTGTTTGCCTGTATTAGTCAGTGACTGTTCTTGTGCCAGAAGAAAACTGTGTTAATAGAAGACACTTCACATCTTGACTAATAATTAGCAGTAAGTTTTAGGGAATAACTGCTGGTTGCTTTCTGAATAGTTCGTATATGTACAAAACAAACAATGTAATGTTTGTTTTAGAAAAATGACTTATGATAAAGCTCTTGTATGTCTCTTGTGTTTCCTATCCAGTGCCTAGTAATGCAGCCCATGATGATACCTATGAATTAAAACTTACTGCAAAGCTAAATGCATTCAATATTACAGTGTGTGATCAGACCTGTAGCATTGCAGACATTAGAATACAAGGTAAGGGGTTTTAATTTAAATATTAAATTAGTTGGTTGTAGTAAGAAATATTTTATTCACTTCTGAAAGGCCAGAGAGTGCACTGTAGATATTTCTGTAACATAGATTTGAATACATTTTGATTGGATGATAGGGTTGTGGTTAAGTATTTCAATAGCCAAAATGTCTGCAAGGGAAGAAAATGTTTGACTTGAAAAAAGAATTAATTTCTAAGTGGAGCAAAACTAAAATAAATGAAGGCACTATGTTATAAATAATACAAGTGTCCTTTTTTTAATAGGCAGATCCTAGATAATACTCGGAACTCTTACTCTAGCCTTAGACTCAATTTACATTGACAAATTTGTCTTGTGTAGTAAGATCATGACTCCTGTCTTGGACTTAGCATTGGTTGTTAGAGAGTGCTGGATTCCAAACTATTCTTATTCTTAATATTCAGTAATAAATAACACTTCTTTTTAAAAAAGTGTTTACTTAGCAATTTGTTGAAGTGCATTTTTTATCAACTTCCTTTTCTCTCAAATCAGGAATGGATGCATCTGTAGCTATGAAAACTAAAAAGATTAAAGTGTTCTCCAGACTTGAGGACATTGTGATTACAAACGTTGATCCAAAAACAATCCATAAAAAGGTGATGTATTGAGCAGTTTGTAAATGAAAAGACCTAGGTCTTTAAGTTGTTTAATGGCAGCACTGTAGTTGATTTGCTGTGTTGTATAATGCTACATACAATGTATGCACCAAATATTAAGAAAAACTTCATGGGTTAACTTCCTTTATCTCAGGGAAGCAAAACATGCTTCCATTCAATTTTTAATTCTTTTTTAATCATGTTTGTGTTGATGTGTGTAATTCTGAGTAGTGTGGGTTAAATACAAAATGGACTATAGATAACCAACTGAGAAGAGAAATACCATAAAATGGGTGATTCAGTTTCCTTTTGTGCCTAGCATATGTGGGTCCAAGTATTGCTGGTACGTTGCAGCGAATATTTTTATTGAAGTATTTCTTGTTTGATAACTTCAGCAATAATTCTCTCACGTATTGCAGCCTGGGAGTATTAACTATATGGACTTAATCTTCTAGGCTGTCTCCATAGTGGGAGATGAAGTGTTCAGATTTCACGTCTCACTTTATCCAGATGCTACTGCAGGGGAAGCCTACACTGATATGTCAAGGGTGGATGGAAAAATGTCTCTGAAAGTGGGCTGCATCCAAATAATTTACCTACATACATTCTTCATGTCTCTCTTGGTAAGACATAAGCTTCAGTTCTTTTCTTGACGTAAAAAGTTTTTTAAAAAACTAATCAGCTCTTTGTGGTCTATACCTTGCGGTGAGCTGATGTACAAGCATATGGAAGTATTTTGCTGAAGTTGCACTGCATTATAGAAGAGTGACAAATAAGGATGACAAAAAAAAAGTAATGAATTGAGTTGATAACTTTAATATCTTAAAAATTAAATAGGTAAGCAATCTCTTAGCTTGTGCATGATTTTAACCTACTTCTCTTTTGAAACTTGCATGGTTGAATTAGAAGTTTCATATTTCTGCCACAGCTGTACTATTTTTCTAAAATGTACGTTTTGCCTGGGGCTTGGCCTTTTTGCTAGGCTTCTTTTTGTTCTCATAAAACTCTTATGTTTTTTCTCTACCTATCATCAGAACTTCCTCAACAATTTCCAAATGGCACAAGAAGCCTTGACTGCAGTCACTGTCCAGGCAGCAGAAATGGCTGCTTCCAGCATGAAAGACTTTGCTAAAAAGAGCTTCCGCCTCTTAATGGATGTCAACTTGAAAGCTCCAGTTATAGTTGTTCCTGAATCTTCAACTTCAAATAATGCTTTGATAGCTGATCTTGGCTTAATCAGAGTTCAGAATGAATTCAAGCTGGTGTCTTCAGATGAATCTTCTCTTCCTCCAGTCATTGACAACATGGATGTGCAGCTAACTCATTTGAAATTATCAAGGTATACATGGAATTTTCCTCCAGGTTGAAAAGTGTTCATAAAGAAAACAAGTCTGTGCTCCATGTGCAGTATCGTTCTATTATTTAGAGATGATAAGCAATGAAAACATACTAAAACCAAACAAAAAAGCGCCCTAAAGTAAGTTTAGGAGTGTTTTTAGATAGGGACGCATGTCCATAATCTCTAAAACTTCTTGGAAAGAAAGGAACAATAGGACAGTATCTGGGTTCCTCCTAAGTGCATACCTGTGCATAAGTGCACGTAAGCACAGATGATTATCAATTTAAAAATAAGTCTGTCCATAATTCTGCTAGATTAGTATGATATTATTTGAGATTCTGCAGCTACTAAATATTTTTCCTCTGCTGCTTCCACTGTCTTTTATAGGTGCGTTATATCCACAGATTCTCAACCAGATTCTGAAATTCTGCGTCCTGTGAGTTTGACTTTAGTGGTCCAGAGAAATTTAGCAGCAACTTGGTATCATAAAACCCCAACAATCGGTATCAAAGGAGACCTAAAACCAATGCAGGTAATGTCTTGGCAAATAAGAGCTACATCAAAAGTTTCAGATATTCTCACAGTAGTACTTAGCCTAGTTAAGGAGCTTCTAAACTCATTGTAATTTGTATTCTTTACGGAATGTTAAAAGACTTCAGTCTTGACTGTCTGGTTTATAGATCTGTTTTGTTATTTTGTAAGGAATAGTTCTTCTGTAGCTGCATACAAATGAAATAAAACCTATTTTTGTTTCTCTGGGAGTCTGATGGAGCTCGTCTTGACTGTCTGGTTTATAGATCTGTTATAGTTTTGTTATTGTATAAGGAATAGTTCTTCTGTAGCTGCATACAAAGTCTTGACTGTCTGGTTTATAGATCTGTTTTGTTATTTTGTAAGGAATAGTTCTTCTGTAGCTGCATACAAATGAAATAAAACCTATTTTTGTTTCTCTGGGAGTCTGATGGAGCTGTCTTTTGATTCAACAGTCAGCAAAGTCATTGAGGTTGAGTTACATTTAAAATGTAGATTTAAGATTTTTAAGTTGTTTAATCTGTAATATTCAGGTTATTTGAGTGTTTAGTAGATTTATTAGAAATTAAAAGGCTAGATATCGATCTCTAATGTACAACAGTTCAAAATTATGGTTGATACCTTTGCAGAGAGAAAGCTTTACTTTCTCTTCTCCTACATTAACCATATGGATTTAAGTGGGTAGCAATGAATGTGGGGGGTGCTTTTAGTTGTTTGTGAGCACTGTTTCAATCCTCTGTGTGCTGTGGCAAAATGTCGCATTGGCGAGGCATAGAATAATATATTGAAAGAGTACCAGTTAAAAAAAAAATATCTATTGAGTTACATTTAAAATGTAGATTTAAGATTTTTAAGTTGTTTAATCTGTAATATTCAGGTTATTTGAGTGTTTAGTAGATTTATTAGAAATTAAAAGGCTAGATATCGATCTCTAATGTACAACAGTTCAAAATTATGGTTGATACCTTTGCAGAGAGAAAGCTTTACTTTCTCTTCTCCTACATTAACCATATGGATTTAAGTGGGTAGCAATGAATGTGGGGGGTGCTTTTAGTTGTTTGTGAGCACTGTTTCAATCCTCTGTGTGCTGTGGCAAAATGTCGCATTGGCGAGGCATAGAATAATATATTGAAAGAGTACCAGTTAAAAAAAAATCTAAATGTAGAAAAAATATTCCAACACTATGTATTATGGGCTAAGTGGCTGCATTTTGTCACTTATTGCCACTTATTTTTTCCACGATCATGTTATGTTATAGTTGGATTCAGGTTCCTTACCTCTTTAAAGGGCCTGAATGACAGTTGTTTTAGTGTATATAAAGTATATCTTGGCTTTCATGCTATCTGGTTATGTTTCTGGATTACTGAATTGTTAAGAAGTGCTTATGATCATTATTTAGTCACATTTTTAGTAGGTGAAGAGCCTTTACAAGACTAGAAAGTGTTTATCATGTGGAGTGTTAGTTCTTGTTGTAACTCCTATTCATAACATGTAACATGATATTTTAGGGAAAGTGGGCAAATTATTTAGGGTGTTTTGGCCAGGATCAGTTTGACTAGACAGCTTCTTCATGGTGGAAGCAGCATGTTTATTCTCCTCAGTATTTGCATACTACTGATAAAGTTAGGATTCTGTGCTGGAAAGAAATTCTGTCCCCAAAACTGAAGTGGTGGGTTTATCACTTTACAGATTGCACTCAGTGAAGATGATCTAACTGTTATCATGAAAATTTTACTTGAAAATCTTGGAGCGGCTTCTTCCCAGGCAAATACTGTGCAAGAGAACACTGAAGATACACAGATATTTAGAAAAGGGAAAGTTCCAAATGAATCTGAGCTCTGTGAGGGTATGTTCATTTAAAAGCTGAGTATGTTTATTCAGAGAGCTATGTGCAGATTCAAACATAGTATTTATATGAAGCACTTTGTGTGTAAATAAATTCTTTTTCGTTTTTACATATGTATTGTGTACATGAGAAATTATAAATGAGAATGTATGAAAAAAACAAAAATGGCGGAGTGTGAGCTGTAGATGGTCAGAAGTTTATGTAGTGTGTTTTAAGTGATTCATCTTTTACAGGGTGGTATTCTTCAGTCTGTATCAATGATTCTTATAACTTGCAGGTAGCTTAAAATGGAAAATAGCCAAACCAACTACCCCTGAATGTTAATGCACAATTCTAACAATCAAGGACATGATTAGTATTCAAATAGTGTGTTAATGTAAAGAGTCTATGTCTCTGGATGAAATATTCTCCAAACGCTTCACCAAAATCGTTTTTGTCCAAAACTTAACATTCTCAATGGCAAAAAATTACTGTTCAACCAATAGTTTAATTGCTACACTGTGAGACGTAACTCAAAGGAAGATTAGTGCAAACTCCTTGGCCAGTTGGGGGTTGTATTTCCTGTAGCTCTTCATTAAAATGAGTGAAGAACTGCAGTAAATTGATGACAGCTTTTTTTAACGTTCTTAAACTGCTCTGTGCAAGGTAATTTTAGTATGCATTGAATAGAACAAAGTGACATTGATTGAATAAAAATGCAAATTGTTCTGAGTAGTCTTCCTGATTTAGAACTTTCCTCTTTTTGTTACTTTCTGATCTTAATTTAAAAAAAAATAAAATTAAAAACCCAACCCCAAAACCAGAAAACCACCCCTAAGTGCAGTGTTCTAAAAAAAATATAAAATTATTTTCTCTTCACTGACAGGTGGTCGTCCTTCATTTGGAGAAAAAGATGTTTCTACAGTTGAGTCTTCTGCAGAATGTTATACAACGCTGAAATTTGACTTTAATTTTGAGTCACTTTCAGTAATTCTCTATAATCGTGATATGGATCAGGTTTGTGACACAGATTTTTTTTTTACCATACAGATGGGGTGGGGAAGTTGGGCTTCTCACATGGACAGAACTCAGGGTAGTAAAACAAAGAGTTGTGTGAGTTGTGTTGGTTTTGTAATGCCTGCCTTATGGAGCTCTCATGGCTTAACTCCAGCCAGCAACGAGGACCATGGAGCACCTCAATCACTTCTTCCCCTGCCCCACAGTTAGGGAGAAGAGGCAGAAGAGAAGGGGAAAGTAGAAAAAAAACCCACAAAACCAAACAACAAAAATACCAATTCATGGGTTGACATAAAGATAGTTTAATAGAACAATAAGGGAAAAGGAAAATAGCAATAATAATAATGGTAAAAGAGTATACAAAATAAAGTAATACAACTGAAGTTGCTCTCACTATTTGCTGATTTGTTGCCCAGCCTGTCCCAAGCAGCAGCCATGGATCCCTAGTCAACCACCATTTATATACTGAGCATGATGTCTATGGTATGGAATATTCTGTGGACCAGTTTGTTCTGTCTATGTGCTCTCTCAGCTTTTATGGGAACCTGGCAACAGCTAAACCAATAGTAGTATTGTCATTCCTTTCATATCAAATCTGAAGCACAGCAGCCACTGGATGGAAAATTAACTCTATCCCAGCTGAAACCAGGACAGGAGCTTATGCAATTTATTCTGCAACTTGAAGGGTTTATGGGCAGATGTTTTATTATGTACTTCAATTTGAAGGACCTAAGTGCATTTCTAAAAATCACACTTAAAATAATAAACAGTCCAACCAAAACCACCCACCATTTGATTTGGTTATTCAAGCCTTGATTCCAATTATTGAAAATAAAAATGAAACCTTGAAAAGCAGGAATTGCTAGCATAATTGATAGTAGTTCTCTTCATAGCGCTTATATAGTTAGTAAGCAGATCCAAGGTGTAGCTGACCCAGACTTCCCTCTTACATATCCCTGAGTGTGAGCAATGATGAACATCCTTCCTGCGCTGAAAACAGAAGAGAAATATGTGCAATGTTGCCATGTTTTTATGACAATACACTTTGTCCACATGGGAAGGTGCTTGCTTTAGAAGTCTTGGTATATAGTGACCATGTGGTAGCTTTGCATTTAAAATAACTATAATGCAGGAATTTGTGGTGCTTTTTGTATGAGGGATGTATTACTTAAAAAGAGTTCTTGTGAAATGAGTATCGTGGGGAAGAAACATGCTGTAGTGATTTTATTTTAATTTCTTCTTGTTATCCTTTCTGCTTATTGCTGAGGTCCTGGTTGTAAATGAGTTGGTGTGATGGAAGCGGAGGGATCGTCTGGTAGGAGGTTCAGGGTTCAGATAGGTTATCCTTCAGCCATGCATTCTGAACAACCACTAGAAATGTGTTGATGAAACAACTTTTTTACAACCAAACTTATTACTTCTCTTTTCTCAGTGAGTTTTGAACTAATTTGTATGATTGGAGGACTGATGACAGCAACAGGCTAGTCAGAGCCTTCCATTGATGGATCAAAATGTATGGGGCCTTGAACTAATTTGTATGATTGGAGGACAGCAACAGGCTAATCAGATCCTTCCATTGATGGATCAAAATGTATGGGGCTTGCAGCAAGGGAAGTGTGCTTATGATTTTGTTCTATGGTAACATCCTACTATTTCTTATTATGTAGAAGTCTCTGATTTCGGTGCATAGTAACAAATTACGCCTTGGTGAACTCCGACTGCATCTCATGGCGTCATCAGTGAAGATGCTTTCGGATGGCTCAATGGATATTAATGTTAAACTCAAGGCATGTACCCTGGATGATCTCAGAGAAGGAATTCAGAATGTGACTGCGAGGTAGGTTTGAGTGTATCAGAAATGAAAAAACTCCACGCAGCTTGTGAGGAAGACTCTTTCCTTGTTCTGTACTTTGCTTCACATGGGATTGCTAAAACTTAGTAGGGCTGTCAGTTGTTGCCCATCACACTGTGCACAAAAACAATGAACGATGCAATTTTAATAGTGTTAAGCAAGTTTACGTCTTTTATATGTTGATTTCCCATGTTATCCAAAACAAAAAAAACACCCAAACCTGAGAGTCTTGGGTATTACAGCAAACTGTAGAACAGCTGAGTAGAGAGCAACCAACCTCAGCTAGAGAGTTCTATGCACTGAAACGTTAGTCTGATTGTTACAGGCTGCATATGTAGTTCCAAAAGTGTAGCACACAAATTTTAAGTTGAAATTACTCTTCGGTTATTTCTGGTTATTTCTGCTTTTGTTGTAATTCTTACCTATAAATGGAGGAAACACTGATTGCTTTTGTTGTAATTCTTACCTATAAATGGCACGGGAGGAAAAATGGTGCTGCTTATGCATACTTGCTTTTCTAGATCAAGATGATATGTTTGAAACATTTCTTATTAAACTTGTTTTCCAGAATGATAGACAAGAAAGATGACACAAATGACAGTTTTATGATAGATATAAACTACAAGCAGGATAAAAACGGAACTGAAGTCATTGCTGTTCTCGACAAGCTGTACATATGTGCCAGTATGGAGTTTTTGTTGACAGTAGCAGATTTTTTCATTAACTCAATGCCAACATCCTCAAGTGAAAGATCGGCACAGTTCCAGTTAAAGCATGGTGCTTCTGGAAAATCCAAGCCAGAAACAGGTCTGTGAAATTGATTTCCACCCCCACTCCCCTTCTTTACATAGTTCATACTGAAAATAAATAATCCAAAAGTTTTCAAGATGCTGTTTTGCTATCAGACTTAAGAAATGAGTTTATTCTTCACAGTTTGTAAATTGGCCACTGATACCATACATGATTATAAGCAGTAGTAGTTCTAGAACTGCTGTGTTAAACTGTGGAGTTCTGCTCTTCGGCAGAGCTAAATTTTGAAAAACAGTCATGCTGTACAGGGTTTTTACCCATGTAATACTGCAAAGGAAACAGCCTTAGGGTAAAAAGCACCATGTAGATAGTAGCTAAGGGAGTAAAAGAACATCTTACTCTTTCAAGGTGAGTGATGAAGATTGTTTTACCTGTTCTTCTTCAAGTTGTGTATTTTTAAACTGTAGGTTATTATTTCAGTTCAGGTATGGAAAACTAAGTTTTTGATAAACAGCTTTCCTGGTTTTGGTTGAAGACTGAAGGTAAAGCATGATAAAACAAGGGCAAGAAAAACACCGCTCCTGAGGGGTTTTTTGGTGTGGTGCTTTTTTTTTTTTGTGGTTGTTCTTAAGTGATTGCTAGGCTTGCCTGAGTTCAAGTCAGACCTAAGCTGTGGGTTGTGTGGCTCTTCTTTTGGAAAACTTGACAGAGTGCTAGGAGTGAACCTTAGGTTTCATGAAGTGCCCCAGTGATGCTAGCAATTCACTTCCTTTCCTCTTCCCTTGTTGGACTATGCAGAAGTCCTGGGATGGGAAAGAGATGGTACACACTCCAGAAGAATTACATTTGCAGGGTTGCTGAGGTCTACCCAAATGTTTGGCTGGCTGCAAGCCATGATGCAATTTGGCACCTGTTCCATTGCATGGGTGTGATATTCTGGGATTTCTATCAAGTGTTAGGCATGAGTAACCCATATGATGAGTCCTAGTGTGCAGGGGGGGTCACACACCACCCTGCTGCCTAGCACTGAGAATCAGTGACTTGATCCATCACTAGGTCTTGCTTTTAAATGAGATAAATACAATATGATTCTCTCTGTTTGGAAACTGAGTGAGTATTCAGACAAGAAATTGTATATTGCTAATTTGAGTTAAATTAGAAAACCTTAACTCTAAAGAAGTTAGTTACTTTAGTATTGAGCCAGAAGATAACTATTTCCAACTTGGCTTTGTAGAGCCAGTGCTTAGGTTCACTGTCTTTTTACACTACTGAAATAGTTCCTTCAAAATAAAACTTCTGACCAGTTTGCTGCTGATCTCTGGACACTGTCATATTCAGTTCCAGCAAAGTATTCCCATAAACACTGAGACATTATTCGTTAAATTTGTACCTCTAAAATTACATAGTAATTTTTATGCATGGTTTAGATATTATGTACGTAATAATGCCTTCAAACCTTTTATATTATTTTCACAGAAATGACAAATATGACAGTAAAAGCTGTTATCATGGATCCAGAAATTGTATTTGTTGCTAATTTGACCAATGCTGATGCCCCTGCCTTAAAAGTTTCCTTCCAATGTGACTTTTCTCTGACATCTGGAAAGCTCGCACAAAAGATGACCGCTCAAGTGCAGGGTTTCAAAGTGTTGGCCTGTGCCTTTCTCAAAGAAAAACAAGACAAGAGTGTTACTACGGTAAGAAACCTTGCTTTTCATAATGAAAAAAGTAATGAGAACTGTTGGCAGGTGTGTCCTTTAGTTGGCTATGGAAAGAATGCTGTTACTCTGAAACATTAGATTAAAAAGTACTATACCATTTGGAAAAGTTAGATTCCAGGAATTCTCTTAATAAACAAATTTCTTTTTTTTTTTTTTTCACTCAGGTGTTACGGCCATGTTCATTAGTTATGGAAAATCTGGTGCATGTCTCAGGGTTACAAACTATGGCAGTAACAATAGAAGAACTCATTATAAAGGTAAGATCTTTGGAAGACCAGTTGTGTTTCTAAAGGTGTAGCTTGTTTTTTTGTTTTTTTTGTTTTTTTTTTTAAGTTAGATACTACTATTTAAAACTTCCATTTTCCCTGTCAGTTTAATCCCCAAAATAGGTGTTTATCCTTTTCAGAGCTGCTCTGTGTTGGAAAAAATCATTACATGTTCCTTGTTTTGACAAATGCTTGGCAAAAAAAGGATTAATTTAAATACTTAAGATACCAGGATTCCACCTATGAGTTCTTTCCACATTTATGAAACAACTCTTTCCCTTGCCACCACCCCCTGTTTTTCTCCTCAGAGATACCTATAAGCAGGAGCATGCACACAACTGTGTGTAAATTTAAGGCTGTTAACATGCTTTCTAAAATGACATACAATGTAAAATACTTTGTTCTTAATAGGTAAATTAATATTTGTGTCTACAGTAAAGGTCTTTCAGAATGGAATTTGTTAATTCTCCTGCAAAAAGTTCACAAATTTGCGTTTGTGATCTGAAAAGGTGTTAGTGGTGAAATCTCAAACTGCGAGCAGTAGTACCTTGCTCCTAAAGCATAAAGCTTTTGACAGATGTGCTGTACTGCTAATTGAAATGGTGCTGTACAGAACTCTGCAAACATGCTTTTCTGAACGCCTCAAAGA